GACACCGCCCAAGAAGAATGAAGCAGTCGCTGAGATCGTCAACAACATGTCCGCTGACCTCGTGATTGATTTCACAGTGATCGTCGATGGTGATATCTACCCTGTAGAGATTGCGAGAACCGACGAGACACAGGCCGCTGACAACGTCACGGACGATCCAGGGTTCTCAGTTGCTCCACCAATACCTGCACAGGATGTAGATGTGGATGCGCAACCCGAAGAAGAACAAGGTGCAGAAGGCCCTGATCCCAGGCATGCAATTCGTGAAGGATTTGTCGCGCAGCTTCAGGACTATGTGGGAGTACTCGCTCAGGGCGAAATGTCGGTCGGAAGCGACCGCCTCACGTTCTGTGTCGCTTGTGGCAGTGATCTACACACTCTGTCCAATTGCACAGAAAATGCTGCGACCCGGGATCTGGTACTTCGAGGCGTCCAGATTATCAAGGAAAGCCTTCTTCGATATCCACGTCGAGTACCTCCACAAGAGGCTGAGCCAATGGACGTTGACACCACAGACCATGTGAGTGTTGCATCCTCGGACCGACGACCCAAGGCCAAAGCCCGACCGCGACGCGGAGGCGAAGCCGTACGGGGTGATGTGGTCTTGATCCGTTATGAGAACAAACACAATCTCTGCACGGATGTGGAGAACCGTCGGGGCCTACATGATGCTTGTGGCGTACCACTGCAGGAATCGGGACCAGAGAATAGCCAGCGAGTGGTGGACCTCATTGAGCAGCTTTCGGACCATCGCGACCGACGCCTACCTCAACGAGGAGACCGTCCTAGCTTTGCTTACGATGATACCACTCATAGCTACAACAATGCAGGCTACGAATCCATCGGCGGCGGAAGGCCAATCCGGTGCGGGATTCTCGACCTGATCCCAACCAAGGGTGCAAGCTTCATCAACAATCGATGGGACCTCGTGAACGAAGTTGTCCTTCGCGACATCACCCGTCAGCGCAGACTGAACGCGGATTGGGCGCTATCATGCATCCAATCTGACCTGCGCCACAGAATCGCCAGGCGCCCAGGCTCGGAATGGCTTGACAACAGGTGCCAGGTGGCATTCAACAGTGTCATCAAATGTGATGAAGGAGGGTGGGTGATGATCGAAGATTTGGTGAGGCATGAGCCACTATGGACCCATGAAAGCAGACGCATCACCGAAGCGGTCTCAAGGACCGATGAGCAACAGAAGAAGAGAGTGTACAATGAAAGACTTCAGCTATTGTTCCAAGGGAACATGATTGCAGCCACGAAACGCCACAAGGCCAAGATTCGGTTGCAGTTCCTGGGTGTGAGAGTGAAGGACCCCGGCACGGAAACTCTTGGATCAGCAGGTTCGAACAGGTTGGTATCGGTTCAGGACCAGATCACGGAGATCCAGAACAATGATCATTGCCGGCACGGCCAGAGGTACCTGAACATGTGCAACGGCTGGGTGAAGCCATGGGCAGTTCGGGCTACGAGTGGTCACTCTGCGCACTCAGATCCCCAGAACAACTTGCTTCAGTTGGACAAGAACAGGTTCGCAATATCTCCATCTATGACCCTCTTGCAACGTCTTGGAGGTGCGTTCCACGCTACGGCATGCCGCAACTTGGATTCCATTGTCACGCAAGGCATCATGCCTGGTTCGGAGGACCCCGACGGGGACTTCGACCATAGGCGCCAATTCCGAGGCAACCAAGGTGGCAGACTCCACAGCTATTGGGGGGTGTTTGCGCCGTTCGATCACCGGAACGCAACGACCAAGATGCGAGTACATGGACGAGACGCCAAGCACATGCCACTGGCGGTCCTTCATGTCCCATCGCAGGACCTTGCACGAGAAGATGGACGTATCACAGACAGCGGCATCATGATCGTTGGCCGAACGATACCTTTCCATTTCGTCAAGGAGGTATGGTTTTGCGTCCCGGATCCTCGAGATACACACTCTTTCGCTCTGGTGGAAAAGATCTACGATGAACGGTTGGAGAAAGAGCTGGTGTTGGACTACAATGCATCACCGTTGCTTCCTGAGTTCGAGAGATACCGAACGCCAAGCAAGATCATGGAATTGCTTTGCGAGATGCCTCCTGGACCCCACGACACAAGCAAGGAGCAGATCATTCGAGACCTCACGACTGTCCTGGAGTCCCACAGGGAGAACACGGTTCGGCATCACTACATGGACAAAGGAATCAAGTTTGTCATCAAGAATTGGCGACCCGAAGACCTACGCAGAGACGAGGATGGACGGAGAATGAGGGTATGCCCGGCATGCTACAACATCGTTCCAGCATGTTTCTCCCGATGCACGTCTTGCTGGTCACAGTTCGTTTCGAGCGGATATTACCAAGGTTCTCCACAACGGGAGACTCCTACGGAGATCCCCAGTGACTTCATTGCTCAGACAATGGAAGCCGCAGCAGCCGCAGTGCCTGAGGCGCCCGAAGAGGAGCAGGAAGCCATGGAGGTAGAGACCGTTGCGGAACCTGAGGAAATCCCAGAACCATCTGTCATCGCGGAGGACGATCCAGAACAGGAACCTGATGAAGAAATGGACATAGAGCCAGGAGAGGACTTTGATGACGCAGTACCAGAAGCAATTGCACAGGAACGTCGTCCCGTCTTCGTTACCGGCCAGTCTTTGAACATCGATCCTGAGCTACAACTTGCACGTACCGCCATGCAGCCATCCTACTATTCTGGAAAGCGAAATGCCCATTGCATTGACGCGAACATGACCGCTCTTTCGTACATGGCATACGTGGTATGCAGATCCATCTACAAGGCTTGGTCAGGATTCGCAAAGTGGGCGACTATGCCGTTGTTCCAGATGAGGGAAAGTTTCGCACTTGGCCAACGCTATGATGTGCTCGGAAAGTGGGGATCTTTGGCGGCAGTGGATAGGGAAACGGGTGTGAGCAAGGATGTGACTGATGAGGAGATCATTCGCTTTGCCAAGGAGCCTGAGAACCTCAAGCAGTATGATCCCAACGGGACTTACACCTTGAAGCGCTTCCGGACGAACCAGATGCTTTCGTTGCTTACACGGGGAGCCAACATGATGGGAATTGGCAGGGACAACTTCAACCCTACTACTTACTTGAAGAGCGAAAGGGATGAAGATGTGAAGGCTATGCACTTTTGTTGCCTGAACGTCCTGTGCGAGGTGATTCCAATGGTGACGGGACACCAACAATTCTCAGTGCTACGACCAACGCCAACTGGACCGGTGGACTTCTTGTACATCGACCCCGTCGGTATCCTGCTGACTCATTCTGATCAGTCAGTCCAGACCATCGGCTTGCTGGTGGACCACAGTGTGCAAATGCCTGCGCATTTCATGGACAGATTGAACAGATCCAAGGCTGAGAGACAGCAAAACCCGACGACCAAGCGTACTGAAGCCCTACACCACATTTCGGCTGCTGACTATCTCCCTCCAGGTGGTACTTCCATCCTGGACACGCCTGTCACTACGGAGGAACGTGAAAACGCTTCTTCGGCCAAGGGACCTTCAAAAGGGCGTGGGAGAACCGGAGGTGAGCAGCATGGAGGCTGGAACTCCAACTCCTACTACGACTACACCGCCGGCAAAGGCCGAAACAAAGGCAAGGACAAGGGAAAGCATCGGGAACAGTATCCAGAGGAAAACCTCCGGCCCTGGGACCGCGATCCTGCGACCACGCGAAGATGGAGATGAATCAACGCTTGGTCTTCCTCGCCTATCAGTTCGTGACCTCTGAGCTTCGCCCATGGAATGCCATCGCGAATGCTTCTTTCTTCGGTGACGCCTGATTCGTTTGTCATTTCAGGGGATCGTTACTGACGTAGATGAGTGTCACAACGTTTCTAATTGGGATGCAAAGCTCTGATTTTCAATGCCAACGTTGCGGCGGAACATTTTCTGTTGTCCTATCGTGCCATCTTCCGGGTGAGCAGCGTCGGAGACGCAACTCATGGGGGGTGCGAACGGACTGCGATGCCTTGTCAAGTTCTAAGGTGTCACTATAAGAGCTGTGAGCAAGACCGTGTAAAGTGCAAGAGAAGGGGGCACGCTACGCGTCCCTCGACTCTAAGGGGGCATGCTACGCATCCCTCATCTTTACCTTTCTATGTGACCGCCAACGCAACGTTTGGCTCAAGTCAATGCCCATAGCTAAGTGCTATATGTGTCTTCTATCCTGAGCAATCAGAGCTATCCCGTTGCACAGACGAACCGCCGCCGGCAGTGAGTGCAAAAGGAACGGCCGCCGGTTCTGCCTGCATAGGATTGCACGTGTGGAAGTAAGAGGGAGAGACAGGGTCCAGTCTGTGGAGAGTGCAAGCCAGCCACACCTACATCCATTACAGCTCTGGTGGGGAGAGCAGCAACCAAGTCGAGATCAATCCCCCACGCAATTATTATTGTTACTGCTACTACTCCAACTGCTCCTATTATTATTCTTACTACTACTACTACTACTACTACTACTGCTACTACTACTACTACTACTACTACTACTACTACTACTGCGGCTGCGGCTGCGGCTGCGGCGACGGCGACGTCTCCCACCTATAGTCCTGTAGTCCTATACTCCCATATTCCTATATCCTATATCCTATAGTCCGTTTGTCTTATACTACTCTATAAATTCCTATACTCCGATACTCCTCTACTCCTATACTCCTGTTCTCCTACTCCTACTCCTCTGCTGCTGTTGCTGCTACTTCTCCCGCTCCCGCTGCCGCTCCCGCTCCTGCTCCAGCTGCGGCTGCGGCTCCTGCTCCTGTTCCTGTTCCTGTTCCTGCTGCTCCTGCTGCTTTTCTTCTTCTGCCACCACCGCAACAGCCGCCGCCACCACCACCACCACCACCACCACCAACACCACCAACACCACCAACACCACCAACACCACCAACACCACCAACACCACCAACTCCACCAACACCACCAACACCACCAACACCACCAACACCACCACCACCACGACGACAAAGAAAACATGAAACATCACCATCAGGACACGTCGCCGCTGGGCGATTTCGCGGCTTGTCCGTACCAGTACCGTCGGGATGTTGTCCCCGAAATTTGTCATTGTTGGCATTGGTGAACAGTTACGTTACACTCCTCACGCCGCAATGGAATAGTACACAAATGCCGAATCCGGCACGGGTATAGGCCCAACCGGGTTCCCTGATGTGATGTCAGTATTAATCATTCTAATACGGCGAATCGCGGAATTCGGTTGGCCAGGGCTTATAAGAAAAAATGCCTGCACGCCATCTGAGGTGATCTTCGAAAAGGCCGATTCTCCAGGCAGCTTCTTCCGACGCTTTCCGATTCACCGGATGCTCATAAGCATCTTGACCGACAGCCATGGTTCACAAGCTTGAAGCAGAGCTGTTGAAGCGAAATGGCACCTGAGGCTTGAACAAGAGGCACACGAGAGTCCAGAATGCCGAGTTTCGAATGCGACACGATTGGAACTCCCTGATCGGGACAGGCCTGCAGCAGATCATGCAAGGTTGATCGCTTGACTCGTCGGAACGAAACAAAACCAGAAAACAATATGTTCGTGCTCTCGCGGCCGTGCCTTTTGGAGGAGGTATGGGGTTGAGCTCCTTTCTTTTTGCTTGCATTCCTGATATTGCAAGATAGAGTGCAGAAACGAGGCTTCCAGAACCGAATGCCATGCAAGATACTGTCAACGTCGCAACGAAAGCTGAGCAGATTTTCTTCGTGGGCACCTTTGAGCAGGAGACAGGAGAGCCGGAAAAAATATTGCCGACGTCGCTTTTTGTTTCGAAGCCCAGTGCTATAAGTTCGGCCTCCCTGAACCCCAGATTCCTAGACCCTGAACCACAAACCAGAGCAGGTGATGCAGGGATCTCGCCCGTGACTGTGCCCCGGCTGCCCAAAGCATCCGTGCAGAAGGTTTGGGATTTAGGCTTAGGGAGGCTTTGGCCCGACCCTAAACCTTAAACCCAAAAAGCTAAAGCCGAAACATAAAGCCCTAAACACTAAATCCTAGACGCTGACCGGTAACCAACCCTGGACAACGGTGGGAACTATAGTAGCAGCCAGAAAGTTGGAACATCACTCTCCTCATGCCCCTAAAGTCAAAGTATAGGGAATCCCAGCATGAATCCTTCTAAACCCCATGTTCCAACTTTTTGGGGTTCACTATAAGGCAAGCATGACCCATAATAAGGAATATACCATAATTCCCATAGCTTAGGGTCCTTAAGGTAATGCAGGATTTTGTCCATCAACAGTAAGGCAAGAACCTCCGAGCTCTATCCCCATGCGGATGTCCTCGCCCAGCTGCTCGGCGATTCGATAGTAACGGGGTCCGTAAACTCAAGACCCAAGATCCATCATTATAAGTACATGAGCAAACAGACAACACGTTACATATATGTGTATAAGTATATATATATATACACACTTTATAATGTACACAGATACATATACAGAAAAAATATTTATTACAGATAGATATACAGATAGATAGATATTAGGGGCAGGGTTCGGGGTTTAGATCTCAGAGCTGGCATTGGCTTCGAGAATCTCCGGACAGACTCTCCAAAGTTGTGAACAGAGGCATGGTTTGGGGGGCGTTCTCTCCATTTTGCGCATGATCCATAATCCCTAACCCCTTAGACCCTAAACCCTAAACCCTAAACCCTCAAATCTAAGCAGCGGGGTTACAAATCGCTCATCGGCGGGTAGGGCCAGGGCATGGCTCTTTGTTGGCAAGTGCCCGGTGAAAAGATCTTAGGTTCCTGTAAGCAGGTGAGCGCACACTGAGAGCCTTGGTTGAGTTCCCCAGGGCATATCACGACTGTATATAATATACAGTATTTAATACATGATATGAGCACCCATTCCTCTGCCCTGCGCGTCCCCTGCCTCGTGCTGAGGTACCTGGAGGACTTCGGGGAGCACCTCCGGAAGAAGATTCAGTATAGCACCGAGGCCGGGCCAGACTCGTCATATGTCGACATGCAGCAATGAAGCTCCTTCTGAGATTCGATGTTATATCTCAATTCTCTTATGTCACTTGGGACATAGAGGCTTAAGTCCTACTGATACGAGGCGACTCGCGTATCATAACCGAAAGTGGAATCACCCGCAAAGGACCGAGAGCTAGGCCGGCCCTTGGCTTCTTCCGTGCAAACCCTACAGGTCAAGGTCTAGGCACCCACGGCAATAAAAACAACAAAAGAACTGGCAGTATCAATCGCAATAGTAGCAACAATAATGCGAACAACAAGAACAACAACAACGATAACAGCATGATAATAGTACTACTAGTACATCTAGTAATCAATCTCAGATGTGTCGGACAGTTGCGGTACAAGGGCTCGTCATCTTCCATCAGTTCCTGAATGCCTTTATGCTTCCCCGCCTGCCCTAGCCCTGGACTCGAAACTCAAAGCACATTGTTTGGTCGGTTGAATGATGAATGGCGGCAGGTCCGCGAGATTATCCCGGCGAGCAGCAGACATTTCGAATTGGACCGCCCCAACGCTGACAGACCGGGGTACTCCTACGAGCTTGCAAGCAGTTTAATTTGGTCATCATCTCAAAGCGTTCGACTCTTATTCTGGGGGTTGAATTCGTGTCTGCTTCCATGTGTGAGAGTTGTCCCAGGACCTTGCAGGCCCCACGGGTTCGGCGCGACACCGTTGTGGACGCGTGGTGCCTGGAGCTTGCGAAAAGAGCCCACCAGGGCCACATAGACTGAGAAAACAGGACATTCGCGTCACATCGGCATGGTGCACTTTTAAAGCATGGCTTTAGGGGCCCTGCGAGTGGTTTTCTTGCTCACCGGCACTTTGTGAGTCTTGACTGGGGACGGGGAAACATCGTGTTTACGACCAGGGCTCTGCGAAGGTGTGAGACAAATGCACGCTCTCCGTGTGCTCATGGCTGGTAGTGTTTCGTGGTCACCCCGTTTGCGGTCACCCCAATCTATATGGGAGTTTCCGACAATAGGGGACCCTAATATAGTACCCTAAATAGTAGGATCCTTATTATAAGAACCCCTAAATACGGTACCCCTATTTTCGGAAACTCCCATATGGCGCAGTGGATGAAGCGGCTGAGCTCCAGCAAAGGTGCTCGCCACAGGGCTGCAGCCCAACAGACCGAGCAGCATCATCGGGGAGGAGCCTGCGGTTGGGCTCAGCTCCCCTGAAGCCCGGAAGCCCCCACCTGAAATTAGGTGCATGGTTTAAATAATTTAAGATAGTTTGCTAACGATGGGCAAGGCCAAGCTGAATCTCCAAGCGGGTTCAGCCCAGCTTCACATCTTCTTTCGGGCCAGCGCTTTACTCAGCACTGCGAAGTCCTCTAAAGGGCTTGAGATGCTCATTGGCCTGGTGAAGTTCCCAGAGTCTCCAATATCCCTTAATGAAGGAGTATACTTTAGATGATAGTAGGATATAGTAGGATCCCTTGCGATCCTGGAGTCTCTGGGTTACTGTGCAGGAGTGCTCTTGAGATTTCTTTTTTCCGACTCCAGGAGCTCCTCACCGGCTACGAGGACCTGCCGCAGACCGGCCAGGCATTTGAGAAGCTTGGGCCCAAAGCTGTCGGCTTGCTGCTGTTCCGCTCTTCAAAGCCGGACAGAGCCAAGCAAAGCCTGTCAAAACCCCGACCGCTGGAAAAGCCTGACCTCAGTGCCCCAACTTGAGGTGCCTACAGTCCTACAGCCGCACGCAGCTCGAGAGACTGCTCAACTGCTCAAAATTCAGAACTCAGGAATCGCTCGGTGCTGGTCTGGGGCTTCGGGAATGCAGCGCATGAGACCAGTCGCGAGCTGCAGAAGCACACGCAGGCTCCGAAGTTCTGGGGCCCTCTGAGACAATCAATCTTAGCCTTTATCCCTGAAGCCCACGATTGCCCCGCACAGTGGGTCATCGGTTCAGCTAATTCTTTCTTACTGGTACCTGACTCTTTGCATGCGACACGTTGAGGCCTTTTTCAGTAAGTACAACGGCGGTGCCATCACGAATGCTGAAAAAATTCGGTGGCTGTGCCCTGAGCTAGGCGATCACCCTGCTCCATCGCACGCCGGCGCCCTCGCCCACGGCCCCAAGACCATCGGCGCTGCCCCGCTTCGCGTGGCCTGGATTGCAGTCGTACAGCGCAAGTAGAGAACTAGGAGAAGTAGCAGTCGTGGTGCTGATGGTGGTAGCGGTGTTGTTGTCGGCAGTGGTAGTGGTAATCGCAATGGTGGTGGTCGGGTGACATGGTTCTCCTCGATGCAATCAGGTTCTTCACCCACTATCCTGGGGACATCCGGAGCCTGTGCTGGATGTTCTTTCAGTGGGCTTGGATTGGGCAACTCTGAACATCCATCGCTTCCACTGCCGCAGATGCTACAAGCAGAGTATGCCAGGGATGCTCTGTCCTGCCTTTGTTAAAAGGTTTGAGTTCGGGACCTCCCGGGGAGGGCGACGGTCGACCGAGAGGATGCGAAGCCGAGGACTGTGACAATGCAGATCTACGACTCGTACCTGTTGAAGGCGAGGAGGGACATGGCAAAAGCGGGTGCTTCGAAAGAACATAATGTGGTCTTTTCAGCAGCTCAGTCTGCAAGCCTTTAGCCCCAGTCGTCTGCAACACTTCTAAACTTTCTAAATAACCTCAAACTCTAGAAGTCTTACTGACCCTCTCCTGCCAGAATCGCCGGAGTCGGGAAAGGTCGGGAGGTCTTGATGCCTTCCGAAAGCCAGGCACTGGATGTGAAGCTGCCTTACGCCGGAGAGGACGCCCGGATCCGCTTCTATGGGTTAAATGATAGTAGGATCCCTAATATGATGTAAGATATATTCCTTAATTAAGGGATATTGGAGTCTCTGGGTGCCTCGCCTCGCTTTCTTTCGGGGCTCCCGGAGGTGCTCTTGTCCGTTGGCACGAAGACGGGTCGACAAAGCAGGGTCAGATCTTGAGCAGTTGTTGTGATGAGCTTTTGGTTTCTGTGGCGGGTCCTTCTCGGGGCTCAGCCTATTCGTCCCAACTCCAATCTTGACATGTGGATTCGAAACTTGAAACAGGTTCTAGCTGCACAACTGCGGGCAAACACTTCTGAAGAAGTGTGGGTCCTTTAATTCGCAAGACTGGCTCATTTCGGGCAGATGCCCACTGGTCTTGTTCTCAGAGCAGTCAGGGGTGTGGGTGTGCACGGTGTCTGTGCTTGAGATCCAGTGAACCGGTTGCATCGAACCCCGGACCCGGCGCGTGCAGGAGGAGGAGCCTGTGTTTTTGCGGTGTCTACAGCGCATGCTGTGCATCTGGGTTTCCAAGCGCAGTCGCTGTGGTGGAGCAGGCGGGGTGATTGGCGGCAGGTTGTGCAGGCTTCGACCCGACTTAACGGGGTGTCCATGAGGCCACGTGCAAACTTTCTTGAGAAAGCTGCAACGGTCTTGCTATTGCCACAACCAGAAGATCCCCAAGACCGCAGCCAGAGCCGCAGGCCGCCACAGCCTGGGACCTAGGAGCATTCGTGCCCCGGGTTCCCTTTGAAACTCAGGGAGGCGAACCCCGAACCCCACAAGTCGCAGCCCTGAAGACCTGCTGACGTCAAAGACCGGCTGAGAGGTCGTATAAACTTCTCGGCCAAACCCACATGTAATCCGAGATCTGTCCACCTGTGTCCAATCTATGCATCTGTGTATGCATATGATGGTGTACATATTGTATGTGTGTGTATATATATATATATATTTACCCACATACATATATCAGCACAACTTGTCCCGTTGGATCTCTTCCGCTCTTACCTCTTCATTTTGGCCGGTGCAGGTGAAGAGCGTCATATCCTACCGAATCGCCTGGTTCCGGCGTCTGCGCCCTGCCACAATTGCAGAATGAGGGAGGTTGCGTCATCGCTACTAACTTTACGGTGTTGGTCGTGATGAAGATCGCAGCCACGATGATAATGCCGGTGGTCATGAGGATCAAGGAGAGAAAGGGGATGAAGATGACCACACAGATACCTAGAAGTCGTCGAGGATTTCATAGTTAAATCCTGGGGGTTATTCTCCACACCGGTCCGTGCAGTTCTTCGTTAGACGAGACCTCTCGAAGACAGCACGAGACATGCGTGCAAAGAATCTACTTGTCGAGGCTCCCCGGCAGTGCGCCGTTTCGGTGGGTCCGCTCGAGGCCGATGAAGCCATATGATGGATGGTTTCGGAGTAAGGAGTGGTTTCGGACCTGGGGCAAAGGCTTTGTGGAGGCTACTTGTAGACTGCTGTGGGATGTGGTTCTAGCGGGGCTTCTATTCAGGTCACCAGGGTCGTTCAAGGGTTCATGCTGTTGCCTCGAGGACGCCGTGACGGCCAAGTGGAAGCCCTCATCCGCTTCAGACAAAGCCTCAAAGCTTCAATCGACGACCTCTCCCTGGCAGCTTCAAGTGGCGAGGCCGAGGATCCTGCAGCTGCTCCGCTGCTGATGCCGCCCGGCCTTACTGGGAAATGTACTAGTCAGGTAGGCATTTCGAGAAGTATACTATATGTCTATGTAGCAATCCCTCTATCTACCTACATGCATTTCATATTTCTCATACATCCAGATTCAGTATTCGAGTACGCAAGGAAGCCAGGGAGGAAGGATGTAGCGATAAGCTCAGTCCATCCATGTCCGTCCGTTCGTATTATGTCCGCATGTAGCCGTGTACGTCCTACCTACTAGTACCTACCTACCCACCTGTCTGCCTGCCTACCTACCTACCCAGTAGTACCCGGAGTGTCTATACACAAGCAGAATCAAGCAGCTGTGCATGACTCCGCTTCGTTTTGGTATCTAGGTTTTATGCTCTGGGATGTTCGCACGGCATGACTTTGCATCGCAGCCTGGAGTCCCAACCATAGGTTTTTCAAAAAACCTATGCTTCGTGAGTGTGGCGGGTAGCCATGTTTGCGCCGACGACTTTGCGGAAACGAATGGGCGTCACAATAGACTGCAACGTGCGCATGAGCTCATGCTCTTCAAGTCCGAGTGATTAGCACCCGAAGCCTTGGGAAAGCTGCTTTCCTCGAGTCCTGTAGGTTATGGCCTTCACACCGTGTCGGTTCTGCTCCCGGGCTCAGGCTTCTCGCATCTCTATCCCGTCGGGGCCTGGCCGTGGATGGTCGGGACTTTGCCTGGGAGGTGCCTTTTAAGTGATAACTTTTAATGCGAGGTTTGGAGTTCGGCATTGCTTCGTCCTCCGTCCTCGGAAGGAGCGTTCATACCGAAGTCTTCACAATCCACACACCCGCGTGCACGCAACACCCATGGCTGAAATTCTCGTCCTTGCTAGGCACCTGCCGAGGAGCATCCTGCGACGAAGCTGCAGCTCAGACTTCCGATCCCTCGCTTCTAACTTGTCTTCCGAGGTGTTTTAGCTTAATTAAGTGCTGTGCGCTTGCGGTTGCGGGGTACAAGGCATTCCGAACATTCTTGACCCCAAGGTGTGAAGTGTATGTGTTCGGACACAACGCAGGCTTCAACAACATGGAGACGCGATAGTCGCGGCAAGGGTTTTCTGGTCAGAATCGTTTGAAATTGCTCCAAATTCTCACACATGTGATGGGAAGCACGGCAGTCTGCCACAATCACAAACTCATCGTGAAGATCTCTAGGCCTTGGCTTCTCGACTTGCAGAGCTTGGCTACAGAGTCTCGGACTGCACGAGGATTTGAGAAGTATTCAGGTCTTAGAGGGATACTTGGATTTGGTGTTAGTGCAGATGCGGTTGGTTCCACACAAGGACAATTTGTCGTTATCATTAGTTTCATAGCAATGCCCATAAGAGTTGCGGGATGTCACGATCATGATCATGATGCATGGTTGCTATGTTGCTGTTGTCTCCTGGTGGTGGTGGTGGTGGTGGTGGTGGTGGTGGGTCATGAGCATGGCAGCGGTCTCACCATCATAGTCAGTAGCATCAGCTTGCCCCTCGCCATCATCATCATCATCATCATTATCAGCATTATCGGCACATTTATCTTTATCTTCATCACCGTCATCATAAGCATCATCATCATATTCATCCTCATGTTCATCTTCATCTTCATCGCCATCAACATCGCCATCAACATCGCCATCATCATCACCATCATCATCATCATCATCATCATCAGCATCATCATCATCGGCATGTATCGTCATCGACGTCATGATCAACATCATCACCATCACCCTTCTCAGAACCAACACAGTACTGTAACGGTACAGGACAAGGTCATGATCGTGGCAATGATGATGAGCATCGTCACCATAACTATCGCTGTCTTCGCTGTCATTGTCATCTCATCATGCATATCATCGCCAGCAGCAGCTGTAGCGAAACCTTCTGTCGCCGCATTCGCAAGTCGCACCAAAGATCTGAGACTAGACGCTGCAAAGAGTAGCTGCTCGTTGGTCACCTGTCTTCCTCTGGGCTGCTGTAGGCTGCCACGATCGGAGAAAGCCCCGAAACCATGTGTGCAGGGAGCGTGGACGAGTATCTGTCGGTGCGGCAGAGCAACTGGTCTCGGATTTGCATCTTTTTGAGTATCTTGGCACAGAGTGCGGTCTCGTAGTTTAATTTGTGAGTGGCTACAGACGTTACATTCGTTATTCGGATAAAGACCAGGCGGCAAGAACGACATATCGAAGAGAGCCACATGGTGATGACCCTAACCATTGGCATCTGGACACTGATAATCTTGCTTGTCATGCATTTTCATCTCCATGTCTGTTCCAGTACTATCTATCCGCACAGACTTCTTTCTGTGCAAGAAGAAGAAGACCATCATCACGTCGCAGAGAAGAGGACGACCATCACCGGCATCAGCATGATGACGATAACGACGGCGCTGATGATGATCAGTATCATCTTCACCACCACGGTTAACATCATCATCATCATCTTCATCTTCATCCGGCTCCTCCTCCTCCTCCTCCTCCTCCTCCTTCTCGGCCTCCTCCTCCTCGTCTTCCTCCTCATCATCATCGTCATCGTCATCACCATCATCGCCATCATCGTCCTCGCCTTCGTCACCTTCGTCATCATCATCATCATCATCACCATTTTCACCATCGTAGTCATCATCATCATCATGATCACCCTCCTCCTCCTCCTCCTCCTCCGCCTCCTCCTCCACCGCCTCCTCCTCATCTTCCTCATCACTATGACCATCACCTTTTCAATCAATACAATCATCATCAAGATCACCGACATCACCGTCATCACCACCATCACCTTCATCACATCATCATCACCAACATCACCATCACCCTCATCGGATTCATCATGAAGTTCATGAGTCCTTATGAGTTAGCGTCATTGTGGTCGTTTTCACCATCATCAGCCTCATCATCATTCCATCCTGGAGCCCCATGTCGTTCATGTTGAGTCAGACGCTGCATTGCCTCATGGCAGCTCACGGGTTCAGCCTTGGGGCCGGCATCAGCACCCCTCAGGATAGCACCAATGCACTGCGGCACAGACTGCCGCAATGCCTCAGTTAGTGCATGGCTCCATTGCCCGAAACCGAAGACTCTGCAGCCCTCGACTTCCCACATATTTGTACTTCATGTCCGCCCTTCGTCGTCACTCGACATGACCACCTTCCATTCGAGGTGAAGGCGTCGCCTGGAACGCGGCGTTCGTCCGACGTGGCCGGCGTCTGGACTCTGAGACCCAAACTCGGAACTACAGCTCGGTAATATCATCTTAAGGGACGAATGCATCTGGCAGGTTGGGGACCTCTCAGCCAAGGGATCCTCGTGTCGCACTTTCTGCATGATGAGTCTCATCAACTCCCAAGGAGCTGAGCTCCGAGTTCCTGGCGACACAGAGACCTTTGCTGGATCTTGTGGCGAGGCGGGGAGTCATGATCAATCGTCAATCAACATAAAACCAAAAGAGTACTACGAAACTACACTATGCCAGCGTGGATCCCCCAAAAGTGAAAGAGCACTGCGACGGTCACGACGCCCGGGACCACTAGGATCACCAGGAGCACTGCGACGGCCACTACGACCACTGCAACCAGGAGACCGAGGAGACCACAAGGAGACCCTGAGACCGCAGCACGCCAGCAAACCATATATATATATATATATATATATATATATATATATATATACATATACATATCCACGAGACTTCAGCACAAGACCCACAGGAGGCCCCAGGAGACAACCAGGAAGGCGGCCAAAATCCGTTTCCCCAGGCCAAAGCAAGAATGCCCACCATCACGCACCGTTAGCACCATTGCTTACCCGCCACCTTAGTCCCAAACCCCTGAGCCCTACACCCCTAAACCATGGCCATTTTGGCTCAAGGGCTTTTGGCTCAAGCCCAAGCTCATGCTCAAACGGGGTTCCCGTGTGTGTCCGCCTCTCAGCGCCTTACGGATGGAGCCGAAAGACACTCCGCCTGGATTGGCGGTGGTGGGGCCTTTGGCTGGCCGGCCTTATTGCTCGGCTCCTACATCGGTGGGCAGCTGGCTGGTCATGGTCCTTTTGCGACTTTGACGATTTTGTGCTCAACGACGTGCCGCGGAATTTTACTCGGCGGCGAGCATTTTAGTGGTGCCAATGTCACTGCGCATAGTTTTGTGGGAGTGTCGAGCCGGTTCAGATTTGATATGTGGCTCGGTGTTCGTGTTGGGGAAGCGAAGAATCCTGGTCCTGGCGCTGGGAGAGCCGTCCTTGAGCGTTGTGACCCGGAGACTGCTGATGCTGATGAGTGTTGGTTGCGTGTCGAGCTGCAGGCCTTGATTGACAGGTGTCCTGCTAACCTTTTGCAGGAGCTCAAGAGCTTGGTTACTCAGGCCACTCGATCCTCTGGCACCCGGACGCGTCTGAAGGACAGACATCGGCAGGGGAGTTGGCATGCCGACTATGACACGAACGAGGACTGGAGTTGGGATGGTCAGTGGCGTGCCTCATGGCATGCACCTGCGGAGGCTCTTGACTGCTGTGCTGGTTTGGCCTCCCACGTGGCACTCGGGCTGCACTTCCGGTAAAGCCTTCGCGGCTGGCCTTGCCGCCCATCGTCTTGCGTGTCATCGACACCCTTCCCAGAAGGCCTTCGCGGAACGTTGTCGGGTTCGTGCTTTTCGGCTTCCGGGGCATCGGCGGTTGAGGCGGGTGGCCGTTAGGAATCGCTCGATGGCTTCGCGTGCTGCTGCTCCGCCTTCGCATTGGGAGCCTTTTACTTGGCCCAGGCTTGTGCACTACTCCGGGAAGAAGCTGCCTCACTTCCGCTGCGCTTCGGGTTGGCGGTGCTCGCGCTGTGGTGCTTGTGTGGCGAGTCATGCCAACCGCTCTGCCCATGATGCTGGCGCTTGTGCTTCCGGCCGTGGGGTTACTGCTGGTCGCCGGTGTAATTGGCTCGCTAAGCTTGATGCCGCTGCTGATTTCGTGTAATTACTCCTCGGAGTATGGCTTTGACAAGTCCACCTTGGACGATCTCTTCGCTGGGGCCCACCGGGCTTTGAGCTGCACTGAGGTCGCCGCCTCCACGGACCACGAATGCTCCGTCGTCGCTTTCTTGAGGGTTGCGACACTTAACATCCAGAGGATGGGAGTGTGTAAGAACGATGCGGTGCATGCTTTCTGGCAGGAGTTCCCATCGGATATCTTATGCCTTCAGGCGGTCGACATCAATCCTGCCTTCTTGGCCTCTTGGGCCGCTGACTGGAAGCACCGGCGTGTCTTTGCTTACTTTGGCGATGGCAAGCAGGACTCCTAGCGGGCTGCATTGTTGGGCACTCTTCACCGTTTGCTGGACAAGCAGAGCGGTACAGTTTTAGCGTCAAGCAAGCAGATGGTGGATGGCTTGATGCGTGAGATTGAAGGGAAATGGATGTCGCAACTTGTGCAGTTACATGTCAGAACTACCGCACAGAATGAAGCCGTTCGTGAATTAAGAGCTGCCGAAGATGAAGGATGAACGAAGCGTTGCTCTCGTGCAGTCGCAAGAGTGTGGGCTGGCGGAGAAAATGTGCCAAAGGGGCGACGATGTGCAGAGAGAAGACGCACCAGGATGAGGAGTCTTCGGTCTTTGGTGGGATGGACGTGCGTGACCACGGTTTTCTGCAGAGGGTGCACGTGGCCGCAGACACTCCTGAACTTACAGATGGTGTCTCTGAGGCAGAAGATAATCGTCTGTGTGGAAGTGCTGCGGCCGAGGTTAAGGGTGACGATGGTGAGGTGGACAGCATTGCTATTGTGGAGGCCAAGGGCATTGGTTGGGTTCCTGATCTCGGTCAGAAGCGATGGTGCAGGCAATCATGGTATCGGCAAGGATAGAAAGCCGGATGGAGGCGCAGATGGTATGGAGGCCACAATGGTTTAGGTAGTTGGGCACACAGGTGCAAGCACAGGCAAATGCCTTTCTCTGAAGAGGGGTGGCAGCAAGAATGGTGGTCGATAGAGCACCCGGGTGCAATGATGCATGTCTGGATTCAGAGTCCGGAGCCCTGGGGCCGCCGAGGGGGGTGGTGAAGGATGTCTTTGTGTACCAGGAAGGACCGTTGTTACGACTGAGTTTGGCTTGAGTGGGATGGGTAGAAGCAGGGGTTGTCTAACACAGGTGACCTGGATGCAGCTTGGGAGCACAGTGATGTTGAGAGATTTTCCACATTGTGGATCTGCTGAGTTTCAAGTGCAGTGAGATGCTGAAGGCACTTGGGTTGTCCAAAAATGGGTGCCCGTTTTACTCCTGGTACAACGCTTCAGGCTACAGGTGAATGATTCAGTTCGGGGCATGGAGATGTCGAGAATCTTCCATTCCTTGCACCACGTGCGTGGCTCAGTCTGAGATGGCTGGGGTTCGACTTTGCATACACTTTTCCTTATGGCAAGTGAAGGTGCGTAAGGGATCGAATTAGCTCGCCTCCATGAGGCTTCCGTAGGTCGTACCCGTGCAGACGGAAAAGAGCAAAAAAGAAACAACCCTAAGCCATGAAACCCAAACCCAAAACCGTGAACCCACGACCCTAAGCCCTCAAACCTAAAATCCCAAACCATAAAACCCTGAAGCCTAAACAAGAATACCCGCCATGAGCCATCGTTGCCCAGCATGCCCACACGTTACCCAACAACACCCAGTATTGCCCACCAACCCTAAAGCCTTAATTTCTAAAACAAACATTATCTCCAATGTCCGAATTTCAAAACCACAGCCCTGCCCTGCCCCTTCAGAAGTGCAGCACCCCGGGCAAATATGCATAATTCCCTCCCGGTGGTTTAATTCCTCCGCAGAGCAGGCTAGGATATCGATGATGTCCTGGACTCACACACTCTGCTTACTTGCCTGAAGTTAGCGGTTCCGACGAACCTTCATCCCCGGGCATCCAGTGGACCGTTCATCCTGAGTCCGTGGTGGTGCGCACACTGTCCGCTCCGTCTCCTTCCCGGGTCCATGACTCTCTCAACAATCATAGGCACCCCTCGGGGGGGTTGGGGAGAGGGGGTAGGGGATGATATTTCCCGAAATAGGCCTTATTCGTTCGGTCCTTATTATGGGCACTAAGGCCCCCTCCCCCAATCGTAGATTTCCACAGCCCGAACCCGAAGTTCCAAACACGGTTCAAAGAAGGTTGCGGCCCCAGCTGAGCCAAGATCCACTGCGCCATCCCTTCGATGTCGGAATCCGCTTCTTGCCATCGATGGGAGTTGTAAGGGTAGAAGGACTCTTGCGGGGGTTCCAGGGTCCTGTAAGTTGGGTCTACCGTCCCAGGTACTCTTTGAGGCTGGGCGACGAAAGAGTTGGAGGAACAAAAAGCCCTTGCGATAAATCTTGCACCCACAGGCCAAGGCTACGGGAGAAAAGGGGAATAGTATAGTGTATGTTACAGTATGTTATAGTATTTGTTTAGTATTTATAGTGTTTCGTTTTGTTGTACAGTGTATATGAACATTCTGAAAGCTTCCAGAGGTTCTCAACCATGGGCCAGAACTGCGAAGCCACCGAATCAACTCATCTTTGGCCTACTTGGAGGATCATAGGACTTGGTAAATAAGGTTATATGTACCTTAATTGGGGTTACAAGTAATTATAAGTGTGGCTACCTTTTTTATAACCCCAGTTACAAAGTATATAAGTAGACCCTACACCCTAAACCCTGAAAGGGAACCCTATAACTATAATAGAACCCTATGGTACCCTTAAAAGTACCCCTAAACCCTACTTACTAAGTCCCATGATCCTCTAAGTACCCCTAAAACCCCTCTTGTAGAACCCTTATGGATCCCTTTAAGGAGCCCTTTAAGGAACCCGTTAAGGAACCCTAAGTCGAAGAGGCTGCCTGGGCTGGCGCGGGGCCGTACCGAGTGTGGCAGGTCTGCGTGAGACAGGTCGGAGGCTGTTTGGATTTCGATTCAGACCTTGGGGTTTATAGGGTTTACCTTAACCCCAAGTAACCTACGTTTTTAAAGTCTTTACATAAGGAAATCATATTAGGGAACCCTAAAAAGGCAGGTTCCTTAGGGTCCAGGTAGGGTTTAGGATTTCGATGGTTCATGTCTGAGTTCGGGATGTTTAGCTGTTCCGTGCGCAGCATCAAAGACGAAAGCCCCTCAGCCTCAGCTGCAAGCTTTACAGGCAAGTATCCCATGATGGATGCTTCGTACCAGTCTGCAACGATTCCGGGACTCTACTTCGCAGGCGGCATTGTTTTATCTTTGAGCTTGAAGAAGTAAGAGAGCGTGAGGACAGAACATGTCAGGTGAGACAAGATAAGGATGAGAGATCCTTCAGATTCCGCGGCTGGTCCCTACGTAAGGTTGTAGATTGGGCATTGAGCAGCCTGGTTCACCATGTCATGTGACGCTTGCAAAGCTAGACTGTGTTCTGTAACCGGCCATGCGCTCCCCCAAGCGTCAGAAATAGCATTTTCCAGGCCTAGACAAACGGCCAGCATCAATGGCGTACAGACATACTTCGGGTCGTGTCTTAAAAACTGACTTCGAAGGGGAGACGCAAAGATAGCAGCTCGACAGGTCAGAGTGTGGTGGGAGATGCTGTAGCAGCGCTGCAAGTAGCAATCCATTGAGAGACGAAGGTCCTCGTCTCCACTTCTCGTGTCACTACTCTTGTTGGGGATGACCAGTCCACGTGAAACAAACCTTCAGAAAGCTTTCGAGTTTTACTCATACTCTTTTACAGCAGGAAATGCTCTACTCTAAACCCGGCTTCTAATCGACGAGGCGCGCTGAGCCACGGCAGGGACTACCGGCGCTCGGCTGGGGGCTTTATTCATGGCTTCAGGTGCCACCGCGGTTCAAAGAGCCATGTCATGAAGGCGTAAAGCGGGTGCATCCGTGAATGTGGCAGGTACACAGCCCGTGCTCTGTACCGGATCCTGCGGAGGGAGCAGGCAGGTTGGCCGAACGTGTCCTTCGCTGTGAATGAGGACAGCAGTCGGAAGCATGTGGCCGCTGTCTTTGGGGCTGGTGTTTGTGTGTGTGTGTGACCCAAAGAAGTCAACTGCCGTGCAACAGAGGAGCCTTGGATGCAGCAGGCAGGGTCCTGTACTTGGTGTTTGGAGACGGACCTTGAGCAGCGTCGTGTGACCGAGTTCTCCTCCGTACCTTCGTCCGTACTGATCGAGTGGTGAGTGTGGGAGTCCAGTATAGGGGTCACTTGTGACTTTTGTTTTGTGTCACTTTATTACTTCTGGTTTGTGTCACTTGCCACTTGTGACTTCTCACTTTCTGCCCTTGCCAAATCCTGCACTATCGTCAGCTTGGGACGCTTACTCTCTCTCCCTGCTTCCCTCCTTCCTTCCTTCCCTCCTTCCTCCCTCCCTCCCCCTTCTCGCGTCTGGCGAGGATACCGTTGTTTCCTTCCTTGTCGTTGTCGTCGTCGTTGTCGTTGTTACACGTTGCAGGAGGCCACATGCTTCCCCCCCGTGTTGTGGGTTTCCAGGGCTTTCATGTCACCACGGCCAAAATGCTTCCCGCCTTGTCTAGCACGTTTCTATACAGAGGCGTGTTTTCAGATTGCACGGGGGTTGGGAGCTGTGTACATGGTGGCTCAAACCTCCCCTCCACCCCTCCCCCCTCCCCCCTCCCCCCCGGTTTCTTTGGTTGCGGTTTGTGTGTGGGGGTGGTTTTGTTTCAGGGTTTGGTTTAGGGTTTAGGACATACCTTGCTCCCCAAGACAGGGGTCGGCGGGCACGTGGGGTTTAGGGCCCAGCTTTTGGTTTTGTTTCGTGTTTTTTAGGTCCCTCAATCAGGGCAAGCTGGGCTTAGGGTTTAAGTCAGTGCTAGGTTAGGTTGTTTCCCCTCTCCGACCCCCCAAGCATCATGACTTCCGTGGTCTAATCCGTTCTGAAAAGAGAGCTTCCATGGCCCAACTTTGATGACGTCCGTGGTTCTGTGAAGAGAGCATCCATGGCGCAAGCATGATGACGACCATAGTGTAATCCGTTTTGCAACGAGAACATTCGTGGCCCGACCACGTCCTGGTCGCACAGTAGTGAATCCCCAACAACAGTTGAAACCGAGACCAGACGTGGGAAGTCACAAGTGATTTCAAAGACTTTTGCTGAACCATGTTGCAGATTCGCTTGTTAGAGAAGCCAAACATGACACAGAACAGTCGAGAAATCACAAGTGACACAAAATACTAGTCAAAGGTGACCCGCCTTGCGGGGTGCCTTTGCCAATGTTCGTCAGTCATGTTTTCTATGTTTTCTCTGCTTTCTTGTGATTCCACATGTTTTATGTCCACAGGAGCCGATAGGCCTCCTACACCATAAAAAATTAAATCCCGAGGGCTACAGAGACACTTGTGGCGAAAGCAGGCCACGATGCAGTAGAGCGACGGGATAAAACAAGACATTCCCTGCCTTCATCGCTCAATTGCCGAATTTGCAAAGCGGACATCAGTGCAGGTGCTTCGCCGGATAAATGAAGCCGCAGGCGCGAAGATGCAGGGACAAATTGAGACATGCAAAACGACGCATGCATGTAGACTTGGTTTCAGCGACATATGAAGCGGGAATATTGTGCCATTCGTGAAGTGGAAGGAGTTAACTGAGGTCAGGGTTGAGCCTGGGCTCCGCACGAGGATTTCGAGCCTTAGCAAAAAGGGATTGTTCTTGCATTCCTGCTCCGTTGGGGAAGAGACCCAGTTGAAGAGACTTTACAATGTTACAACCCAGTTCATCTGTGGGAGAGCCTCAGCTTTTTTTCAGCTCCAGGCCCCTACCAGATGTTTGGTGAGCTCGTGGATGTCCTGCTTTTCAAGGCCCGGTGGATGCAGGGCCTGAGGCTGTCCAGGGTCCAGGACTTGACCCAGGGTTCGGGTCAAGAAGTTTTGGCTTCAGTGCAAACCGTCATGGGATGTGCTAGTGAGCCGTGGTCACAGCAGTGTCGCGGTAATGGCGGAAACGCTGCAAGCAGCGACACCAAGCATCGTGAGATATGGCAACTTGAGTCACCAAAAAAGCAGTGACAACGTTGCAGTCAAAAAACAGCACGAAGCGCAAAGCAGAACAACAACCTTCAGTTTCAGGATGGTCCAGCTGGCCTCGTCGTGCAGTACCTTGAAGAGGTGCCGATGGCCTATGCCCAGGCCGGCAGCTATGCGCACCTTCTGGGTTGGACCTAAACATGCCGATTTGTGTGAAGCTTGCTGGACTTTGTCGCCAGGAGAACAACGACTTCCGCCGCAGTCCGCGCTTCCTGGCCCAACTGGATTACTGGCCAGCTCTGGGCTACGCTGTTCTCGGAAACCAACCAATCCCACAAGCTGTTTACAATCCCAGGCCATGTCACACCATCAGTCCCGGATGCATCTCACTGCACTGTGACCCAAGATCTCGGAAGACTCCAGCCTGCCTGTACACTTCGTGTGTTTTTTCCGCTTTCGGGTACGATGCAGTACTTACGTGTGCATGCTCAGAGCTGGAGTCTGGTCCGTTGGGTCTTGTGCAACTCAAAGCATCAACCTTCGCCCTGGAGGAGGTTTTTGAGCCTATCCCTAAAACGGGAGTTCGGGGTGAGAAGTTCAAACTGGACTGGCGAACCCTAAACCGCATCATGTCATGGGAGTCTCAATTCTCGAAAGGTTGAGAGGAGTAGAACCCTGATGTAGGCTTGATCCTCAGCTTCGTCTACGGCCGCCTGGCTTTTTCAGTGGGGAGCATCTCCATCCGACTAGGCCGACTTTGCAAGGCTTCTCAGGGTGTTGCTGTCGTTTTTCTGGCAGCAGGGTTCGGATGGCTATGGGCCTTGGGCTTTGGAATCTCGTTCGGCCACGAAGCGGTGTCTCGAGCTTCAGGCTTGTTTTTAGCTGGGCACTCACTCCAGTTCGGCGCAGACTTCTGATGCTGGCACCAGATATCTTGAATCTTGACGGTATCAAACGTCGTTGATTTGCGGTAATGCGGTAATATATGTATGCATGCTGCCTATGCATATCAAAGTACATCAAACTATGTCACATCACATCGCATCACATCACATGACATCACATCACATCACACCGCATCGCATAGTATAGCATAACATAGCACAGCATGGGCATCGCCTTGCATGTCACATCATATCATGCCATATCAGAGCCATATCATATAGAGTTCATAAGGCATAATGTTGTGTGCTGACATGTTGTATTATTATGTCACATCACATTGTATTTGGGCAATACAATGTAATACACTGTAGAAGATTTCCTTTTGGGGTGTGCTATAGACGGTTGAAACATACGGTAGCATGACACTAGAATATCGTAAAGCATTATAGAAAAGACTCCAGTGTACTGGAACAAAATGTAATGTAATACGATACAACATAGTATGATAGAACACAACATGCTGTACATCTTACAGAATATGTTTCAGTGAACATAAGATGGCTACACACACACACACACACATATATATATATATATATATACATACATAGATATGCAAGTATAGTATACAGTGAACGCAACACACACTACATAGCACGTGATATACAGTATATATATATATATATATATATGTATAGTACTTAATGCAACACCGATACCACATAATGTGCTACAATACATGTTTCGTTCTCATATGTTGTATGTTCTGTATTCCATACGACAAATTCACTTGAGTTTTGGTATTTTATTGCATTTGTATTGCAGTATGCTATACCACATTATATTAGATAGTTTTAGAAGGAGGCATACCACAGTATAGTACAATATCATAGTTCATGACTGCACAGTACATGACAATACGTTATTTAATATTGTTTTGCATCACATTAGAGTAGAATACAGAAGTTTTCCAGCTTATAACGTAGTGTATTGCTTAGTATGATGCATAATGGGTTCTTGTATTGGATTACACCAGGAAATGATATATCACATTCCACTAAATCGTATCATATGATGACAGCATACGGTATAGTTTAACCGAATACAACACACCATCATCTAGTACATTGTAGTATATTGTGTTTTACCATATAACAGTGTATGGTATAAGATGAGAGCATATGACATCGCATCTGGTCGTAGCATAACCATTCTGTGTTGTACAAATTGTTGTATTATACTATGCAGCATTATGAATGTTTTATTGCAGTAAAATGTCTTATAGTCTACTGCATATCTTATATTCATCACGATATTAAAGCATATTACATGCTACTATCGTATTTTCTATTATATCGTCAAAGTATTATTTTGTAACACTTACATTATGGCACATTGTATTGTACTTTGCAGTATAGCCGTTAGTACAATAACGTACAGTATATAATATGCCATATCATGGCATAGCATAGCCTATTACATTATGTTATATCAACCTAATTTTGCTCCATCATACTGCGTCATGCCTTGCGTATTACCGAGGCCGTCAGTTCAGCCCCGGGGACCTTCCAAGCCCCGGTGCCGTGGGTCGGGTCCTAAGAGAGGGCAGTGTTACGGTTTAGGGGTTTAGGGTTTAGGGTTTGGGGTTTGGGGGTTTAGGGTTTTCAGTCGAGCAGTGGGTTGTATGACAGATCTGTGATTTTACTAACGCAAATGATCAAATGAGTGTGCGTTGACATGTGTATGTATGTACCTAGTACATGCAATATATGTAGGTGTATGTACGTATGTACGTAGGTAGGTATGTATGTACGTATGTATGTATCATATGTATGGCGGTGTCTGTATGCACTGTATGCTGCAGGCATGTATCTACACAGGTATACAATCATACATACGATTCGTGATAGATTTACATGTTGGTGTCATGGATACGGTCGCAGATGTGCGGGTGGACATTGATGGCCAGGTCAATAGACAGGCAGGTTGATGAATGGACGAGGATGTCGGAAGATGTAGATGTCTTCTGATGTTCCTGTTGTGAGCAGCTTGAAGTTAGGTGGTACCAATGAGCATCGTTGATAATCGTGTCAATGCACATGTTGAGTCAGGGTCCATGGTCGCAAATGGGAAGATGGAATTTTGTTGCCATGCTGGTTGTTCAAGCAACACCCGTGAACTGCTTCTCCTGATTGGATTGCACTGCATTTTCAAAGCAATTTCGTCAATCTTCCAAAGGCCGGTTCAAGCTATAGAAAGCTGAAGCAGAACATCAACAAAACTGTGCAGAGCAGCAAACGCTTCTCCAGCTCCACTCGACACAATTCCAAGTCACATCAAGTGGCGCTGGCCATTGCTGGCCAAGGTTGTCAACCGGTGGACGTGCCCATAAGTGCAGATGGGACTTTTGTTGCTCTGCGGCTCTGCATGTTGTCCGTGGGTGTGCAAGGGACCTTCGATGCTCTTGAGCAAAAACGGGCCCTTTTCGGCCCTTTCCGTGGGGCCCGCGATTTTGCACGTGTCTAAGTAGCATCTAGAAAATTATTCCCTTACTCCCCAAAGTATGTATGTTAGGGGAGGAAGCTGTACGGTAGTATTCATTGGAGTTTTGTGCCCTCGACTTAGAGCTATGGATCTAGGAAACTGGAAGCATGTCGTCAAGCCCTCAATTCTTAGACGCAAAACCCTTCTGCCTACGTTGGGCCACCGAAAAATTCTTGAGCTCGATTTGTTCGTGCTGGTGAATTGTGCAGGGGCTGAGTTCGCCGAGCTGTCCGCTTTCCTCCACCCGCGCCTGGAGCTCTTCGAAGCCTTTACAGGCCAAACCCGGCAAGCTTCCAAAACAGGCCTTCTCCAACGCACTCGCTAGATCCGTAAAGTGCAGTACCCCCCAAGCCCTTCGTTAGTAGTTTACAACGACAAGACTGTTCGACACCCTCGTGCATTCTCTGTCAACGGCGAAGACCCGAAAGAGTCGTATTCGGGAGGATGTCCCAGCCGGTTGCATAGAAAGATTCTACAGAAGTGTCAACACCCTACTTGCGGTGGCCGGACGTAGATTACACTTACAGCTTACTCTGAAGTCCCAAAACAAAGTGTGCAGACGTAGCTTCGGCAATCTTCGGCATGCCATGCAGGTAGCGGCCATTCGTTGCCGGTTCATACACACGCCGTGGTGGAAGCTCCTCTTTCGGCACTTGTGTTGAGTGTCGCAGTCATGGCTGGAAGAGTCGGCCCGATTGATGCCGCGATTCGAGGGCAGAATCTGGAATGTCCTGGATTTTGACTTGACCAAGGATGTCTTTACGGAGTGGCAGTCGTTCGTCGGCCATGTGGATCCACTTTTCCGATTCCTGGCTGCCACTTGGACGATTGTTGATGCCTTCGGTGAGTCACCTAGTCACCATGGAGTCGTGCTTCTTTGCTTGATCTCCCTTTCTTTGGCCGTCTAAGACACAGATGAAACACCACACATCCGAAGGCAGTTCAGCAAAACGGATGCATCGATACACCTGTTGGTCCAAACGGACACCGGGTGAAGGACTGTGTCTAAGAAGCTTAGCAGGCCCATTCGTATGGCAGCCATCCGCCTTGTGGCGGGGGGGGGGGAGAGGGCGGCCTTCTCATCGCGTTTAATCCTATCCTCACTCACTCCAGCAGGTTTGACTGTGTTGTTGCAGCTGCAAGGCCAGATGTCGTGGCACATCGACGGGACCAGTGTCACTAAGGCCAGCGCCAAGATGGCTTCGAAATGGCTGCGGGCAGAAGGTGCGGCTTTCGGCCTTCGCTTCAGACATCTCGCGTTTCGAGCACCAAAGATCAATTATGGTTGGACTGCTCCTTCGCCGTTGCAACTAGCTGACTCGTTTGCTGGGGTGGAGTTCTGGAGAACGCGTGCATCGCACGGCAGGCTTTTGCTTCGTTAGCTGGTTTTGCCTGTGCAAGCAGTCGAAACTAACAAGTGCACCTTGTTTGTAAGATGCCGTTGGAAATGCTGGTTGTGCCACAGCTGCCTTGCTTGAAATTTCAATTACAAGCTTTAACATTCTGGTGACCTTGCCAGGTGCGGTGGCGGCGGTGGTTTAGCACCGGTCACATGCCATGCGGTCCTTGGCATCAGTGTCATGGAGTCGACCTACTCGACGAGAGCAGGCTGTGGACATCAAGTCAGAGTCCGGTGCCACTGCGATTCGGCGAGCTGTTACAAAATGGATGGACTGTATGTGACAGCGACCAAGCTGCCACAGAAGCATGAGGATTGGAACATGGAGGATGAGCTCGGAAAGCATCCGTTGCTGCAACACGCCTATGATTGATGCCGGCTTTCAGAACAAACTGGAGCCTGCTTACGTCGACCAAGCTTCAGCAAGAACCCCCTGGAAATCCCAAGGATTCTGAGTGTGACGAGCTCTTGCACCGACGCGGTACAGTATGATGTCCTGCGCGGCATGAGAACCATCCATCCGCGAGAACATGACAATTTGAGAATCTCGAAGTGAGGCGAGTGCAGGTCGGGGAAGCGGTCATGACACACTCTAAAAAGATTCAGATTGTCCGTAAGAACATGAGGTGTTTGTTTTTGGCACACCCACACATTTGCAGGCCTGGCCAACCTTCACAAGACGAACAAGATCGCATCGTCGGACATCCGCTGCCGGCACCGTGCACATACACGTGGTGTACGCGTGAACATGTTGCCTGGCAAAGCAATGTTGGGAAGTTGGACGCGAGTCACAGCGTTGCCTCCCCAAGGCTTGCATCAACAATGAGCTCGGCAGAAAATCTCCGGAAGGGCAGCGCAGCCATTGTTACAGGGTCTTGTCGATCTTGTGCATGGAGCTGGGAAGTACCTTTTGAGATTGCGCAGCCAGCACGAGCATTGCGGCGAGCATGTCTACAATTGGGTCATGTCGTTTCCGGATTCTGTGCGGCTTGTTAGAATGATTTTTAGGGCCAAGGCTGAGACCCTTTGACTTGAGAGTTGCCGGGCAAAGGTCGAGGTCCGGGGTTGAAGGTTCAGGAGTCGCGGTTTCGGGTTTAGGTTGAGGTTTCGAGTTCAGGGCTGGGTGTGTGTGGAGGTATGTCAAGGCATCTCAGGTTTCATATGATAGGGAAGAGCCTGAGCTTGGGGTGTCAGATCAAGCCATACTTGCTATGTGGAATCCTGCCTGAAGCCCTGCGAACTGTGGTATTGATATGGTGATGAGGATGAAGATTGAAGATGATTTCTGCCGTTAATGTACTACTAAGTCTACTAAGTCTACGATCATGGTTGCTACATCTGATCATGATCCTGGCCTGTGCGGCGGAAGCCAGCAGGCAATGATAACCTCTAAGCACAATCTCCCCTGACTTGAATATATCCCCACTTTGTATTCGTAAAAACTGCGCATCGGGTCAGGGCTAATTTTGTGAAACATTTCGTCTTCTACTCCGGTGGGGGCGGTGACGAGGACGACCTGTGAGATGTTGGTGGTTGTGGGTCGTTGTGGTTGTTGTTGTCGTCGTTGTCGTCGTCGTCGTGGTGGTTGTGGTTGTGGTGGTGGTTGTCTTTCTGGTTTTGCGTTTTGGCTTTGGCTGTAGTAGTGGTAGTGATTGTGGTTGCTGTTGCTGTTGCTATTGCTGTTGGTGTTGGTGTTGTTGATGCTGCTTTTGTTGTTGTTGTTGTTGTTGCTGGTGCTGTTTTTTTGTTATTTTTTTCGCAGTTGGCTGTTGGTTGTTGTCCTTTTCGCCGTATCTAGTTATAGTTAGTCCATGTTTCGAGCATCTCCGAAACGACAGGCCGAAGCTGCTGCAGGAGGCTCCTTTGTGAATGCAGGCGTTAAAAGCTGCACCGTGATTTGTTGCCTGTGGCTTTGCCAAGACGCAGAGCTTCCGACGCTACGTGTAGTGATCCGAAATGCACAGCTTACTTGCACTGCATGCAAGCCTTGATGAAGCGCGATGCCGTCTGAATCTGAATCGTGCTGCACCCCAAGATCCTGTTTTAGCAAAGCGTTTAGGTAGATCAGACCACAGTGCAAAGCCGAGGATATCCTATGGGCCTACTGGTGGCAGCTCTTGTACAGCTCTCAGGAGTACAGGGAGGGGTGCGGGTGGTTTAGAAGTTTCGACACAGCCACGCCATGCCAAGCCCAACATGTGATGGTTGCATGTGCGTGTTTCCATGCATCCACCGATCATGGAGCGAACGTTCTAAGCCCGCCGATGCCCACCATGCAACAGTGTACAGTAGATTTGCGGGCCCGAAGACCAACACTCAGCGCGGAGATGATAGCAAAGTGATAGGCTTCTGGAGTCTGCAGACGCCCAACGCTGGATCTTCTCGATCCCATCCTTCAGCACAGCACTTTTGCGCCATCAGCCGGATCCGTGCCCTGGGAAGGGCACGCTAGTCACACGAGATCCACACGTGCAGCATGGCGACTCTGGTCACCGCAGCATTTTGTGAGTCAAGCAGCGCTGGTGCACGAACTCCTGGATTGGCCTGTCGCCATGTGGTCCCGACTTGCCGTGTGTGCTTGCTTGGTCGGTTCGGTTGCGGCCATGTGCCCAGATGATCCAGAGGTGGACCTGTGCGAGGTCGATGAACAGGAGACAAGTCACAGCACTCGAAACGGAGCTTGGATGGCCCTGCTCTTGCCCTTGGCTTCGACACGGCCCAGCCTCGCCACCGGCTTGGCCCTGGCGTTGGCCGCTGGCTCTGTCGGCGTGGATGCTGTGACTTGCGGCGAGTTGAAGACCTTCTACAAGAACGAGCAGTGCTGTGGGCAGCCCACTCAAGAGGTCTCTGCTCCAGTGCCCGGAACCGCTGCCTGCCCGTACTCCTTCGCCAAGCCTGCTTGCTCCACTGCCGAACCTCAGACGCCTCGTGACCTGACGGCCGGCGCCGTCGGCTCAATGACACCAAAGGCAGCCACCCTGACCGATGATCAGGCGAACTTCCTACCGCTGGTGAACGTGCACTTCCACCTGGGTGCAGAGCACAAGACCGAGGCAGGGCCCTGCAGTCCTAAGTCTTCTTCTTCCGAACTTTCTCGTGAGTGTGGTGCTCGTCATTGAGGCGGTCCCAGCTTTCGTAGGAGTTTTCAGGGCAGCATGGGGCACTGCGGGCCGCACCGGGTGGTGGGTCCATGTTTGTGCGAGGCCTACAGTGACGACACGGACTCGATTGCCTACGATGCCGCCTCGTCAGGCCGACGACTTGCCGGAAACGTCCGGCCTGGCTTCATGTGCAGCAAGAGCTCTCTGAACGCCAATCAGCTGGCGCCCTACAACTTCACGTACTGCAACTTTGCTGCAGCTTCCTTTAGGCTTTGACCTGCTTTCCGGGAGCGCGCAGGTCGTTTTTAGCTTCCTTCTTTTCAAGCTTTAATGGTTGATTTGTCTGTTTTCGGAGATGTAAGGCAAGGGCGACGTGCAGGTCGGCAAGTCCTACGAGATCCACTACGTGCACTCCTCTGCGGGCATGGACAACAACGCCACGGTTGCTTGACGGCAGGGTGCGTTTTTTGGTGCCGTTTTCTCAAGACTGGAATCTTTCCAGGATGACATGAACGCAGACTTGCTGGCAGATGGCCTGGGAGGTGGGCGGGGGATGTCCTTTTCTGCTGTGACCAGCGGTGGCAGCATGCTTAAGCATGCGTCCGATGTTGCGATCTTCGTCGTGCATGCGTGCAGGTGCTGCCAACGGTCGTGGCCTCCTCAACCCCATGATCGTGGTGCAAGGGCAGATCTTCCAGATCGTGAATGGTGCCGCAACAGTCGATGACATGCTGCACGGCTGGACTGTGGTTGGCCACGACAACTCCGTCATGTACCCCGGGAGCACTACCGGTCAGAGCCACGACAACGAGGTGTGCTCTCCTTACTCCATCACCTGGCACGTGGACAAGGATTGCCATCAGGTGAGGGTTGTTGAAAGTTGCTGAATACGCTTAGCTTAAGAAGGATCGCAGTCTGGAAGCAAGCGAAAAGAGCGTAAGAGGGAACCCGTCGGCAACAAGCCTTCAGGTCTCGCCCGAGTCCTTTGACAATCTGTGCAAGCAGATGAGTGAGGCCTACGGGATGTACGCTGACCTTTACCCGCACGGCTCGCGCAAGCTGGTCTCCTCCCAGTACGTGGTGAAATCCGAGTTCGTCAAACCCCTGGCGTAGATGAGGGAAGGCTTGAATGCTACTTTTTGATTAATTTCTCCGCAGCAGTGATCCCTAGGTACTCACTGCTGCCGTAGTTCTTGGAATTCTCTTGCAGTTTTTGTCGCTTGCAAGAGGGTGCCGGGACGAAAGGATCCAAAAGCTAGGACAGCACTCCCGGCAGAGTGTCAACCCCGAAGGGGTTGGTGATTCACACAGCCGGAGTCTGCCGGTAGATGTCGAAATTGTTTTACAGCTGTCGCAAGCCAGCCCGGCAACTGCGGAGCATCGCCGGCTGCGCAACAGCACGACTGGACTTGGGTGATGGCCCTTGGGCCCATGCCAGTCCACTAGCTCCACTGTCAGTCGCGATCATGCTGGCGCATTCTGGCCCAGCCACCAACGGCAAGAAATCAAGGTTGTCAGCGAGCGGTCCCTCTGGATTGCGGGATTGCTACTCGTAGCCTAACGGCGCGGTGCCCCCAAGCAGAAACCCGCTTGCGCAGCCGTAGCATTTTCGAATCAGGGTGTCAAGCAGGTTCTGTGTTGCTTAGACAGAAGCCCAAGTTGCACCATGTGGTCCCGACTTCCAAACCTTGTCACCGGCTTGGCCCTTGGGTTGGCTGCCTGGTCGATGGGAGTGGATGCTGTGACTTGCGGCGAGTTGAAGACCTTCTACAAGAACGAGCAGTGCTGCGGGCAGCCCACTCAAGAGGTCTCTGCTCCAGTGCCCGGAACCGCTGCCTGCCCGTACTCCTTCGCCAAGCCTGCTTGCTCCACTGCCGAACCTCAGACGCCTCGTGACCTGACAGCCGGCGCCGTCGGCTCAATGACACCAAAGGCAGCGACCCTGACCGATGATCAGGCGAACTTCCTACCGCTGGTGAACGTTCACTTCCACCTGGGTGCAGAGCACAAGACCGAGGCAGGGCCCTGCAGTCCTAAGTCTTCTTCTTCCGAACTTTCTCGTGAGTGTGGTGCTCGTCATTGAGGCGGTCCCAGCTTTCGTAGGAGTTTTCAGGGCAGCATGGGGCACTGCGGGCCGCACCGGGTGGTGGGTCCATGTTTGTGCGAGGCCTACAGTGACGACACGGACTCGATTGCCTACGATGCCGCCTCGTCAGGCCGACGACTTGCCGGAAACGTCCGGCCTGGCTTCATGTGCAGCAAGAGCTCTCTGAACGCCAATCAGCTGGCGCCCTACAACTTCACGTACTGCAACTTTGCTGCAGCGCTTCCTTTGGGCTTTGACCTGCTTTCCGGGAGCGCGCAGGTCGTTTTTAGCTTCCTTCTTTTCAAGCTTTAATGGTTGATTTGTCTGTTTTCGGAGATGTAAGGCAAGGGCGACGTGCAGGTCGGCAAGTCCTACGAGATCCACTACGTGCACTCCTCTGCGGGCATGGACAACAACGCCACGGTTGCTTGACGGCAGGGTGCGTTTTTTGGTGCCGTTTTCTCAAGACTGGAATCTTTCCAGGATGACATGAACGCAGACTTGCTGGCAGATGGCCTGGGAGGTGGGCGGGGGATGTCCTTTTCTGCTGTGACCAGCGGTGGCAGCATGCTTAAGCATGCGTCCGATGTTGCGATTTTCGTCGTGCATGCGTGCAGGTGCTGCCAACGGCCGTGGCCTCCTCAACCCCATGATCGTGGTGCAAGGGCAGATCTTCCAGATCGTGAATGGTGCCGCAACAGTCGATGACATGCTGCACGGCTGGACTGTGGTTGGCCACGACAACTCCGTCATGTACCCCGGGAGCACTACCGGTCAGAGCCACGACAACGAGGTGTGCTCTCCTTACTCCATCACCTGGCATGTGGACAAGGATTGCCATCAGGTGAGGGTTGTTGAAAGTTGCTGAATACGCTTAGCTTAAGAAGGATCGCAGTCTGGAAGCAAGCGAAAAGAGCGTAAGAGGGAACCCGTCGGCAACAAGCCTTCAGGTCTCGCCCGAGTCCTTTGACAATCTGTGCAAGCAGATGAGTGAGGCCTACGGGATGTACGCTGACCTTTACCCGCACGGCTCGCGCAAGCTGGTCTCCTCCCAGTACGTGGTGAAATCCGAGTTCGTCAAACCCCTGGCGTAGATGAGGGAAGGCTTGAATGCTACTTTTTGATTAATTTCTCCGCAGCAGTGATCCCTAGGTACTCACTGCTGCCGTAGTTCTTGGAATTCTCTTGCAGTTTTTGTCGCTTGCAAGAGGGTGCCGGGACGAAAGGATCCAAAAGCGAGGACAGCACTCCCGGCAGAGTGTCAACCCCGAAGGGGTTGGTGATTCACACAGCCGGAGTCTGCCGGTAGATGTCGAAATTGTTTTACAGCTGTCGCAAGCCAGCCCGGCAACTGCGGAGCATCGCCGGCTGCGCAACAGCACGACTGGACTTGGGTGATGGCCCTTGGGCCCATGCCAGTCCACTAGCTCCACTGTCAGTCGCGATCATGCTGGCGCATTCTGGCCCAGCCACCAACGGCAAGAAATCAAGGTTGTCAGCGAGCCGTCCCTCTGGATTGCGGGATTGCTACTCGTAGCCTCCCGGCACGGTGCCCCCAAGCAGCAGCCGTAGCATTTGCGAATCAGGGTGTCAAGCAGGGTCTGTGTTGCCTGCCCAATGTGACCTGACGGTGTCCCCATCAAGAACATGCTAAGCCCAACATGTGATGGTTGCATGTGCGTGTTTCCATGCATCCACCGATCATGGAGCGAACGTTCTAGTGTACAGTAGATTTGCGGGCCCGAAGACCAACACTCAGCGCGGAGATGATAGCAAAGTGATAGGCTTTTGGAGTCTGCGGACGCCCAACGCTGGATCTTCTCGATCCCACACGCTAGTCACACGAGATCCACACGTGCAGCTTGGCGACTCTGGTCACCGCAGCATTTTGTGAGTCAAGCAGCGCTGGTGCACGAACTCCTGGATTGGCCTGTCGCCATGTGGTCCCGACTTGCCGTGTGTGCTTGCTTGGTCGGTTCGGTTGCGGCCATGTGCCCAGATGATCCAGAGGTGGACCTGTGCGAGGTCGATGAACAGGAGACAAGTCACAGCACTCGAAACGGAGCTTGGATGGCCCTGCTCTTGCCCTTGGCTTCGACACGGCCCAGCCTCGCCACCGGCTTGGCCCTGGCGTTGGCCGCTGGCTCTGTCGGCGTGGATGCTGTGACTTGCGGCGAGTTGAAGACCTTCTACAAGAACGAGCAGTGCTGCGGGCAGCCCACTCAAGAGGTCTCTGCTCCAGTGCCCGGAACCGCTGCCTGCCCGTACTCCTTCGCCAAGCCTGCTTGCTCCACTGCCGAACCTCAGACGCCTCGTGACCTGACGGCCGGCGCCGTCGGCTCAATGACACCAAAGGCAGCGACCCTGACCGATGATCAGGCGAACTTCCTACCGCTGGTGAACGTGCACTTCCACCTGGGTGCAGAGCACAAGACCGAGGCAGGGCCCTGCAGTCCTAAGTCTTCTTCTTCCGAACTTTCTCGTGAGTGTGGTGCTCGTCATTGAGGCGGTCCCAGCTTTCGTAGGAGTTTTCAGGGCAGCATGGGGCACTGCGGGCCGCACCGGGTGGTGGGTCCATGTTTGTGCGAGGCCTACAGTGACGACACGGACTCGATTGCCTACGATGCCGCCTCGTCAGGCCGACGACTTGCCGGAAACGTCCGGCCTGGCTTCATGTGCAGCAAGAGCTCTCTGAACGCCAATCAGCTGGCGGCCTACAACTTCACGTACTGCAACTTTGCTGCAGCGCTTCCTTTAGGCTTTGACCTGCTTTCCGGGAGCGCGCAGGTCGTTTTTAGCTTCCTTCTTTTCAAGCTTTAATGGTTGATTTGTCTGTTTTCGGAGATGTAAGGCAAGGGCGACGTGCAGGTCGGCAAGTCCTACGAGATCCACTACGTGCACTCCTCTGCGGGCATGGACAACAACGCCACGGTTGCTTGACGGCAGGGTGCGTTTTTTGGTGCCGTTTTCTCAAGACTGGAATCTTTCCAGGATGACATGAACGCAGACTTGCTGGCAGATGGCCTGGGAGGTGGGCGGGGGATGTCCTTTTCTGCTGTGACCAGCGGTGGCAGCATGCTTAAGCATGCGTCTGATGTTGCGATTTTCGTCTTGCATGCGTGCAGGTGCTGCCAACGGCCGTGGCCTCCTCAACCCCATGATCGTGGTGCAAGGGCAGATCTTCCAGATCGTGAATGGTGCCGCAACAGTCGATGACATGCTGCACGGCTGGACTGTGGTTGGCCACGACAACTCCGTCATGTACCCCGGGAGCACTACCGGTCAGAGCCACGACAACGAGGTGTGCTCTCCTTACTCCATCACCTGGCACGTGGACAAGGATTGCCATCAGGTGAGGGTTGTTGAAAGTTGCTGAATACGCTTAGCTTAAGAAGGATCAGTTTTGAAGCAAGCGAAAAGAGCGTAAGAGGGAACCCGTCGGCAACGAGCCTTCAGGTCTCGCCCGAGTCCTTTGACAATCTGTGCAAGCAGATGAGTGAGGCCTACGGGATGTACGCTGACCTTTACCCGCACGGCTCGCGCAAGCTGGTCTCCTCCCAGTACGTGGTGAAATCCGAGTTCGTCAAACCCCTGGCGTAGATGAGGGAGGGCTTGAATGCTACTTTTTTGACTATGACTAATCATAATTTCTCCGCAGCAGTGATCCCTAGGCACTCACTGCTGCCGTAGTTCTTGGAACTCTCTTGCAGTTTGTGTCGCTTGCAAGAGAGTGCCGAAGCACAAGCTAGGACCCTCCAGAAAAAGTGTCAACCCCGAAGGGGTGGGTGATTCAGCTGTGTAAGACACAGCTGGAGTCTGGAGGTGGACTTCACAATTGTTTGCAAAGCTCTAGCTGCTGTCGCAAGCCAGCCCAGCGACTACAGATCATCTGTCTGCGACACCGCAGGACGCGACTTGGGTAATGGTCCTTGGCCCATGCCAGTCCACTGGCAGTTGCGATTATGCTGGCGCATTCTGGCGCAGCCACTAAAAAGAGACTTCCCAAAAGGTCACCGAGCCGTCCCTCCACGGGAAGTGCTCTCGTAGTCTCTTCTTCCGTCTTCGGAGCAGTCCGCTTGCGCAGCCGTAGCATTCGCAAATCAGGGTGTCAAGCAGGTTCTGTGTTGCTTAGACAGAAGCCCAAGTTGCACCATGTGGTCCCGACTTCCAAACCTTGTCACCGGCTTGGCCCTTGGGTTGGCTGCCTGGTCGGTGGGAGTGGATGCTGTGACTTGCGGCGAGTTGAAGACCTTCTACAAGAACGAGCAGTGCTGCGGGCAGCCCACTCAAGAGGTCTCTGCTCCAGTGCCCGGAACCGCTGCCTGCCCGTACTCCTTCGCCAAGCCTGCTTGCTCCACTGCCGAACCTCAGACGCCTCGTGACCTGACGGCCGGCGCCGTCGGCTCAATGACACCGAAGGCAGCGACCCTGACCGATGATCAGGCGAACTTCCTGCCGCTGGTGAACGTGCACTTCCACCTGGGTGCAGAGCACAAGACCGAGGCAGGGCCCACAATTGGGGTCCTATTACTTAGACATTGAACGGGTGAACTTGAAGCTTTTTGGCCTTATATATTAGCTCTATCTTAGAAAGTTTGAACTTGTTTGGGCCCGGTTGTTGAAGAAGAGAGATCACATTTTCAGGCATATTCCTTAATTAAGGGATATTGGAGTCTCTGGGCCCACCACTCCAAAAGCACAAGGGTACTTAGAAACAATCTTTAATCTTTGGGTTTTAGAATCCCTAAGAAACAGCGAAAATTGGTCTAAGTTCAGTATAGTATTAACTCCGAGAGTTCACACGGTTGGGGGGGTTCAGGGTTTAGGGTTTAAGCTCATATATACTACCACTCTGGAATCAGGCTCCGAAAGACCATACCTGTCATGGCTTTCCTACTATAATTTAAGGTATATTCCTTAATTAAGGGATATTGGATTCGCCCCCGTGGCCCCATTGAATCTTCCCCTAAGGCTCCATGTACCAATATAGTATATACTTAGGCCTTACAGTACCTATATAGAGACTACTTTAAGGCCAAAGCATAGACTGTGAAGGTACATGGAGCCTTTGGGGATGCACCCTGGGCTTCTTGCTCCCAGAAAACAAGCGGTATGGGCCTTTCCGGAAATAGGGAACCCTAATATAGTACCCTAAATAGTAGGATCCATACTATAAGGACCCCCAACTAAGGTACCCCTATTTTCGGAAACTCCCGTATAGGGTTTAGGGTGGAAAAAACCAGCTTCTGGGCGGCTAGTTCAAGGCTCCCAAAGCCCTCGACCCCCCAACCCGGAATTCTTGAAACCTTAAGGTAAGCATCTCAAACCCCCTAAACCCTAAGTCCAAAGATCCTAAATCCATCCAAGGCTCGATGCAACGACGCCCTGTAGTCCTAAGTCTTCTTCTTCCGAACTTTCTCGTGAGTTTAGTGCTCGTCATTGATGCGGCCCCAGCTTTCGTAGGAGTTTTCAGGGCAGCATGAGGCACTGCGGGCCGCACCGGGTGGTGTCCATGTTTGCGTGAGGCCTACAGTGACGACACGGACTCGATTGCCTACGATGCCGCCTCGTCAGGCCGACGACTTGCCGGAAACGTCCGGCCTGGGTTCATGTGCAGCAAGAGCTCTCTGAACGCCAATCAGCTGGCGGCCTACAACTTCACGTACTGCAACTTTGCTGCAGCGCTTCCTTTAAGCTCTAGCCTGCTTTCCGGGATCGCACATGTCGTTTTTAGTTTCCTTCTTTTCAAGCTTTAATAATTGTTTTGAATGGTCTGCTTTCGGAGATGTAAGGCAAGGGCGACGTGCAGGTCGGCAAGTCCTACGAGATCCACTACGTGCACTCCTCTGCGGGCATGGACAACAACGCCACGGTTGCTTGACGGCAGGGTGCGTTTTTTGGTGCCGTTTTCTCAATACTGGAATCTTTCCAGGATGACATGAACGCAGACTTGCTGGCAGATGGCCTGGGAGGTGGGCGGGGTATGTCGATATTGGCAGTGGCAGCATGCTTAAGCATGCGTCCGATGTTGCGATTTTCGTCGTGCATGCGTGCAGGTGCTGCCAACGGCCGTGGCCTCCTCAACCCCATGATCGTGGTGCAAGGGCAGATCTTCCAGATCGTGAATGGTGCCGCAACAGTCGATGACATGCTGCACGGCTGGACTGTGGTTGGCCACGACAACTCCGTCATGTACCCCGGGAGCACTACCGGTCAGAGCCACGACAACGAGGTGTGCTCTCCTTACTCCATCACCTGGCACGTGGACAAGGATTGCCATCAGGTGAGGGTTGTTCAAAGTTGTTGCATACGCTTAGCTTAAGAAGGATCGCAGTCTGGAAGCAAGCGAAAAGAGCGTAAGAGGGAACCCGTCGGCAACAAGCCTTCAGGTCTCGCCCGAGTCCTTTGACAATCTGTGCAAGCAGATGAGTGAGGCCTACGGGATGTACGCTGACCTTTACCCGCACGGCTCGCGCAAGCTGGTCTCCTCCCAGTACGTGGTGAAATCCGAGTTCGTCAAACCCCTGGCGTAGATGAGCGAAGGCTTGAATGCTACTTTTTGACTATGACCAGTTATTTCTCCGCAGCAGTGATCCCTAGGTACTCAGTGCTGCCGTAGTTCTTGGGATTCTCTTGCAGTTTTTGTTGCTTGCAAGAGATTGCCGGGAGCACAAGCTAGGACCCTCCAGAAAAAGTGTCAACCCCGAAGGGGTGGGTGATTCAGCTGTGTAAGACGCCTCGTGACCTGACGGCCGGCGCCGTCGGCTCAATGACACCGAAGGCAGCGACCCTGACCGATGATCAGGCGAACTTCCTACCGCTGGTGAACGTGCACTTCCACCTGGGTGCAGAGCACAAGACCGAGGCAGGGCCCTGTAGTCCTGAGTCTTCTTCCGAACTGAGTTTGGTGCTCGCCATTGAGGCGGTCCCAGCGTTCGTAGGACTTTCGGAATTTTCAGGGCAGCATGGGGCACTGCGGGCCGCACCGGGTGGTGGGTCCATGTTTGTGCGAGGCCTACAGTGACGACACGGACTCGATTGCCTACGATGCCGCCTCGTCAGGCCGACGACTTGCCGGAAACGTCCGGCCTGGGTTCATGTGCAGCAAGAGCTCTCTGAACGCCAATCAGCTGGCGGCCTACAACTTCACGTACTGCAACTTTGCTGCAGCGCTTCCTTTAAGCTCTAGCCTGCTTTCCGGGATCGCACATGTCGTTTTTAGTTTCCTTCTTTTCAAGCTTTAATAATTGTTTTGAATGGTCTGCTTTCGGAGATGTAAGGCAAGGGCGACGTGCAGGTCGGCAAGTCCTACGAGATCCACTACGTGCACTCCTCTGCGGGCATGGACAACAACGCCACGGTTGCTTGACGGCAGGGTGCGTTTTTTGGTGCCGTTTTCTCAATACTGGAATCTTTCCAGGATGAAAAGAACGCAGACTTGCTGGCAGATGGCCTGGGAGGTGGGCGGGGTATGTCGATATTGGCAGTGGCAGCATGCTTAAGCATGCATCCGATGTTGCGATTTTCGTCGTGCGTGCGTGCAGGTGCTGCCAACGGCCGTGGCCTCCTCAACCCCATGATCGTGGTGCAAGGGCAGATCTTCCAGATCGTGAATGGTGCCGCAACAGTCGATGACATGCTGCACGGCTGGACCGTGGTTGGCCACGACAACTCCGTCATGTACCCCGGGAGCACTACCGGTCAGAGCCACGACAACGAGGTGTGCTCTCCTTACTCCATCACCTGGCACGTGGACAAGGATTGCCATCAGGTGAGGGTTGTTCAAAGTTGTTGCATACGCTTAGCTTAAGAAGGATCGCAGTCTGGAAGCAAGCGAAAAGAGCGTAAGAGGGAACCCGTCGGCAACAAGCCTTCAGGTCTCGCCCGAGTCCTTTGACAATCTGTGCAAGCAGATGAGTGAGGCCTACGGGATGTACGCTGACCTTTACCCGCACGGCTCGCGCAAGCTGGTCTCCTCCCAGTACGTGGTGAAATCCGAGTTCGTCAAACCCCTGGCGTAGATGAGCGAAGGCTTGAATGCTACTTTTTGACTATGACTAATAATTTCTCCGCAGCAGTGATCCCTAGGTACTCAGTGCTGCCGTAGTTCTTGGGATTCTCTTGCAGTTTTTGTCGCTTGCAAGAGATTGCCGGGAGCACAAGCTAGGACCCTCCAGAAAAAGTGTCAACCCCGAAGGGGTGGGTGATTCAGCTGTGTAAGACACAGCTGGAGTCTGGAGGTGGACTTCACAATTGTTTTACAGCTATCTGCAATCGCAAGCCGGCTCGGCAACTACAGAGCATTGGCGGCTGCGATGCAGCACGACACTGGACTTGGGTAATGGTCCTCGGATCCGTGCCAGTCCACTAGCTAGCTCCACTAGCAGTTGCGATCACGTTGGCGCATTCTGGTGCAGCCGCACAAAAGAAGGAAACTCCAGATCTCCGGGCGGTCGCTCTGGTTGCCTCTCGGCGGCTCTTTGGAGAAGCCCGCTTCCGCATCCGAATCATTCGCGAATCAGGGTGTCAAGCGGGTCTCCAATGCCGAACCTCAGATGCCCCGTGACCTGACGGCCCGCGTGGTAGGCCAAATGACACCGGGGGCAGTGCCCCCAGCAATGATATGCTAAGCCCAATGTGTAATTGTTGCACGTGCACGGTTCAAGCCATCCACCAGGTCATGGGGCAAACAGGGTGAAGCCCACCGATGTCCGCCATGCAGCAGTGTGCAGCGCACCCTTGTGCCCAAAGACCAACAATCAGGACAGGTGGCAGCAAACTGAGCTCTCGAAATGAAGCAGTGTGCAGCAAACGCTTGCACCGAAAGACCAACACTCAGGCCCGGAGGTGGCAGCAAAGTGAGCTCTCAAAACTGCACACTGCGAATACTGGGTCTGCTCAATCCCCGATTACTGAATCCTGCAACATCTTTTCAGCCAGGTGTTACACACATGCACCTGGGCACTGCAGCATTCTGTGAGTCAAGCAGAGCTGGTGCCCCGCACGAAGTCTTCGCCTGTCGCCATGTGGTCCCGACTTGCCGTGTGTGCTTGCTTGGTCGGTTCCGTTGCGGCCATGTGTCCAGATGATCCGGAGGTGGACCTGTGCGAGGTAGATGAACAGGAGACAAGTCACGGCGTCCGAAACGGAGCTTGGATGGCATTGCTCTTGCCCTTGGCTTCGACACGGCCCAGCCTCGCCACCGGCTTGGCCCTGGCATTGGCCGCTGGCTCTGTCGGCGTGGATGCTGTGACTTGCGGCGAGTTGAAGACCTTCTACAAGAACGAGCAGTGCTGCGGGCAGCCCACTCAAGAGGTCTCTGCTCCAGTGCCCGGAACCGCTGCCTGCCCGTACTCCTTCGCCAAGCCTGCTTGCTCCACTGCCGAACCTCAGACGCCTCGTGACCTGACGGCCGGCGCCGTCGGCTCAATGACACCAAAGGCAGCGACCCTGACCGATGATCAGGCGAACTTCCTACCGCTGGTGAACGTGCACTTCCACCTGGGTGCAGAGCACAAGACCGAGGCAGGGCCCTGTAGTCCTGAGTCTTCTTCCGAACTGAGTCTGGTGCTCGCCATTGAGGCGGTCCCAGCGTTCGTAGGCTTTTCGGAATTTTCAGGGCATCATGGGGCACTGCAGGCCACACCGGGTGGTGTCCATGTCTGCGCGAGGCCTACAGTGACGACACGGACTCGATTGCCTACGATGCCGCCTCGTCAGGCCGACGACTTGCCGGAAACGTCCGGCCTGGGTTCATGTGCAGCAAGAGCTCTCTGAACGCCAATCAGCTGGCGGCCTACAACTTCACGTACTGCAACTTTGCTGCGGCGCTTCCTTTAGGCTTTGACCTGCTTTCCGGGAGCGCGCATGTCGTTTTTAGTTTCCTTCTTCTGAAGCTTTAATAATTGATTTGAATGGTCTGCTTTCGGAGATGTAAGGCAAGGGCGACGTGCAGGTCGGCAAGTCCTACGAGATCCACTACGTGCACTCCTCTGCGGGCATGGACAACAACGCCACGGTTGCTTGACGGCAGGGTGCGTTTTTTGGTGCCGTTTTCTCGAGACTGGAATCTTTCCAGGATGACATGAACGCAGACTTGCTGGCAGATGGCCTGGGAGGTGGGCGGGGTATGTCGATATTGGCAGTGGCAGCATGCTTAAGCATGCGTCCGATGTTGCGATTTTCGTCGTGCATGCGTGCAGGTGCTGCCAACGGCCGTGGCCTCCTCAACCCCATGATCGTGGTGCAAGGGCAGATCTTCCAGATCGTGCATGGTGCCGCAACAGTCGATGACATGCTGCACGGCTGGACTGTGGTTGGCCACGACAACTCCGTCATGTACCCCGGGAGCACTACCGGTCAGAGCCACGACAACGAGGTGTGCTCTCCTTACTCCATCACCTGGCATGTGGACAAGGATTGCCATCAGGTGAGGGTTGTTCAAAGTTGCTGAATACGCTTAGCTTAAAAAGGATCGCAGTCTGGAAGCAAGCGAAAAGAGCGTAAGAGGGAACCCCTGGGCAACAAGCCTTCAGGTCTCGCCCGAGTCCTTTGACAATCTGTGCAAGCAGATGAGTGAGGCCTACGGGATGTACGCTGACCTTTACCCGCACGGCTCGCGCAAGCTGGTCTCCTCCCAGTACGTGGTGAAATCCGAGTTCGTCAAACCCCTGGCGTAGATGAGGGAGGGCTTGAATGCGCCTTTTGGAATAGTCGTTTCGACCGTTTCTCCGCAGCAGTGATCCCTAGGTATTCAGTGCTGCCGTAGCCGTAGTTCTTGGAATTCTCTTGCAGTTTTTGTCGCTTGCAAGAGAGTGCCGGGAGCACAAGCTAGGACCCTCCAGAAAAAGTGTCAACCCCGAAGGGGTTGGTAATTCAGCTGTGTAAGACACAGCTGAGAGTCTGGAGGTGGACTTTTACAATTGTTTTGCAAAGTGCTATCTGCTCTCGCAAGCCTGCCCGGCAACTATGGAGCATCGCCGGCTGCGACGCAGCACGACTGGACTTGGGTAATTGGTCCTTGGCTTCCTGGGGTCCGTGCCAGTCCACTAGCTCCGCCAGCAGTTGCGATCATGCCACGGCAATCTGGCCCGGCAACAAAATCAGGACTCTCTAGGTGGTCACGGGGCGGTTCCTCTGGATTGTGGATGTGCACTCGTAGCCTCTCGGTGCATTTTCGGAGAAGTCCGCTTGCACAACTGTAGCATTTCGAATCAGGGTGTCAAAGCAGGTTCTGTGTTGCTTAGACTGAAGCCCAAGTTGCACCATGTGGTCCCGACTTCCAAACCTTGTCACCGGCTTGGCCCTTGGGTTGGCTGCCTGGTCGATGGGCGTGGATGCTGTGACTTGCGGCGAGTTGAAGACCTTGTACAAGAACGAGCAGTGCTGCGGGCAGCCCACTCAAGAGGTCTCTGCTCCAGTGCCCGGAACCGCTGCCTGCCCGTACTCCTTCGCCAAGCCTGCTTGCTCCACTGCCGAACCTCAGACGCCTCGTGACCTGACGGCCGGCGCCGTCGGCTCAATGACACCAAAGGCAGCGACTCTGACCGATGATCAGGCGAACTTCCTACCGCTGGTGAACGTGCACTTCCACCTGGGTGCAGAGCACAAGACCGAGGCAGGGCCCTGTAGTCCTGAGTCTTCTTCCGAACTGAGTCTGGTGCTCGCCATTGAGGCGGTCCCAGCGTTCGTAGGACTTTCGGAATTTTCAGGGCAGCATGGGGCACTGCAGGCCACACCGGGTGGTGTCCATGTCTGCGCGAGGCCTACAGTGACGACACGGACTCGATTGCCTACGATGCCGCCTCGTCAGGCCGACGACTTGCCGGAAACGTCCGGCCTGGGTTCATGTGCAGCAAGAGCTCTCTGAACGCCAATCAGCTGGCGGCCTACAACTTCACGTACTGCAACTTTGCTGCGGCGCTTCCTTTAGGCTTTGACCTGCTTTCCGGGAGCGCGCATGTCGTTTTTAGTTTCCTTCTTCTGAAGCTTTAATAATTGATTTGAATGGTCTGCTTTCGGAGATGTAAGGCAAGGGCGACGTGCAGGTCGGCAAGTCCTACGAGATCCACTACGTGCACTCCTCTGCGGGCATGGACAACAACGCCACGGTTGCTTGACGGCAGGGTGCGTTTTTTGGTGCCGTTTTCTCGAGACTGGAATCTTTCCAGGATGACATGAACGCAGACTTGCTGGCAGATGGCCTGGGAGGTGGGCGGGGTATGTCGATATTGGCAGTGGCAGCATGCTTAAGCATGCGTCCGATGTTGCGATTTTCGTCGTGCATGCGTGCAGGTGCTGCCAACGGCCGTGGCCTCCTCAACCCCATGATCGTGGTGCAAGGGCAGATCTTCCAGATCGTGCATGGTGCCGCAACAGTCGATGACATGCTGCACGGCTGGACTGTGGTTGGCCACGACAACTCCGTCATGTACCCCGGGAGCACTACCGGTCAGAGCCACGACAACGAGGTGTGCTCTCCTTACTCCATCACCTGGCACGTGGACAAGGATTGCCATCAGGTGAGGGTTGTTCAAAGTTGTTGCATACGCTTAGCTTAAGAAGGATCGCAGTCTGGAAGCAAGCGAAAAGAGCGTAAGAGGGAACCCGTCGGCAACAAGCCTTCAGGTCTCGCCCGAGTCCTTTGACAATCTGTGCAAGCAGATGAGTGAGGCCTACGGGATGTACGCTGACCTTTACCCGCACGGCTCGCGCAAGCTGGTCTCCTCCCAGTACGTGGTGAAATCCGAGTTCGTCAAACCCCTGGCGTAGATGAGGGAGGGCTTGAATGCGCCCTTTGGAATAGTCGTTTCGACCGTTTCTCCGCAGCAGTGATCCCTAGGTATTCAGTGCTGCCGTAGTTCTTGGAATTCTCTTGCAGTTTTTGTCGCTTGCAAGAGAGTGCCGGGAGCACAAGCTAGGACCCTCCAGAAAAAGTGTCAACCCCGAAGGGGTTGGTAATTCAGCTGTGTAAGACACAGCTGAGAGTCTGGAGGTGGACTTTTACAATTGTTTTGCAAAGTGCTATCTGCTCTCGCAAGCCTGCCCGGCAACTATGGAGCATCGCCGGCTGCGACGCAGCACGACTGGACTTGGGTAATTGGTCCTTGGCTTCCTGGGGTCCGTGCCAGTCCACTAGCTCCGCCAGCAGTTGCGATCATGCCACGGCAATCTGGCCCGGCAACAAAATCAGGACTCTCTAGGTGGTCACGGGGCGGTTCCTCTGGATTGTGGATGTGCACTCGTAGCCTCTCGGTGCATTTTCGGAGAAGTCCGCTTGCACAACTGTAGCATTTGCGAATCAGGGTGTCAAAGCAGGTTCTGTGTTGCTTAGACTGAAGCCCAAGTTGCACCATGTGGTCCCGACTTCCAAACCTTGTCACCGGCTTGGCCCTTGGGTTGGCTGCCTGGTCGATGGGCGTGGATGCTGTGACTTGCGGCGAGTTGAAGACCTTCTACAAGAACGAGCAGTGCTGCGGGCAGCCCACTCAAGAGGTCTCTGCTCCAGTGCCCGGAACCGCTGCCTGCCCGTACTCCTTCGCCAAGCCTGCTTGCTCCACTGCCGAACCTCAGACGCCGCGTGACCTGACGGCCGGCGCCGTCGGCTCAATGACACCAAAGGCAGCCACCCTGACCGATGATCAGGCGAACTTCCTACCGCTGGTGAACGTGCACTTCCACCTGGGTGCAGAGCACAAGACCGAGGCAGGGCCCTGTAGTCCTGCTTTCAAAGGATTTTAGGAATTTTCAGGGCAGCATGGGGCACTGCAGGCCGCACCGGGTGGTGTCCATGTTTGTGCGAGGCCTACAGTGACGACACGGACTCGATTGCCTACGATGCCGCCTCGTCAGGCCGACGACTTGCCGGAAACGTCCGGCCTGGGTTCATGTGCAGCAAGAGCTCTCTGAACGCCAATCAGCTGGCGCCCTACAACTTCACGTACTGCAACTCTGCTGCAGCGCTTCCTTTAAGCTCTGACCTGCTTTCCGGGATCGCGCGTGTCGTTTTTAGTTTCGTTCTTGTCAAGCTTTAATGTAGTTGTCTTTGCCTTCGGAGACGTAAGGCAAGGGCGACGTGCAGGTCGGCAAGTCCTACGAGATCCACTACGTGCACTCCTCTGCGGGCATGGACAACAACGCCACGGTCGCTTGACGGCAGGGTGCGTGTTTTGGTGTAGTTTTCTCAAGACTGGAATCTTTGCAGGATGACATGAACGCAGACTTGCTGGCAGATGGCCTGGGAGGTGGGCGGGGGATGTCGATATTGGCAGTGGCAGCATGCTTAAGCATGCGTCCGATGTTGCGATTTTCGTCGTGCATGCGTGGAGGTGCTGCCAACGGCCGTGGCCTCCTCAACCCCATGATCGTGGTGCAAGGGCAGATCTTCCAGATCGTGAATGGTGCCGCAACAGTCGATGACATGCTGCACGGCTGGACTGTGGTTGGCCACGACAACTCCGTCATGTACCCCGGGAGCACTACCGGTCAGAGCCACGACAACGAGGTGTGCTCTCCTTACTCCATCACCTGGCATGTGGACAAGGATTGCCATCAGGTGAGGGTTGTTCAAAGTTGCTGAATACGCTTAGCTTAAGAAGGATCGCAGTCTGGAAGCAAGCGAAAAGAGCGTAAGAGGGAACCCGTCGGCAACAAGCCTTCAGGTCTCGCCCGAGTCCTTTGACAATCTGTGCAAGCAGATGAGTGAGGCCTACGGGATGTACGCTGACCTTTACCCGCACGGCTCGCGCAAGCTGGTATCCTCCCAGTACGTGGTGAAATCCGAGTTCGTCAAACCCCTGGCGTAGATGAGGGAAGGCTTGAATGCTTCTTTTTGAATAGTCGTTTCGACCGTTTCTCCGCAGCAGTGATCCCTAGGTACTCAGTGCTGCCGTAGTTCTTGGAATTCTCTTGCAATTTGTCGATTGCAAGAGTGAGCCGAGAGAAGCTAGGCTAGGACCACACTCCAGGAAGAATGTCAACCCCGAAGGGGTTGGTGCTTCAGCTGTGGAAGACATAGTGGAGTCTGGAGGTGGAGTTCGAAATTGTTTTACAAAGTGCTGTCGCAAGGCGGCCAGGCAACTGCGGAGCATTGCCGGCTGCGACGCAGCACGATTGGACTTGGGTAATGACAATCTGGGTTCGTGCCAGTCCACTAGCTGCTAGTTCTGCTAGTTCCACTAGCAATTGCGACGCACCTGGCAAAGAAATAAAAGCCACGTGCAAGACATGACGATTCCTTTTGAGAGCCGTGTGGTGGCATTGTGGACGAGCTCTGCTCGCAGCATTGAGCTGCCCTGAAGGAGTTGGGGATGCATGGAGAGACGGTCAACCACCCGCTTCTGTTCGGCCGCCCAGGGTGGAGCTGAACCTTTCGTTGTAGATCATGTTCTGTCTGGAGCATTGAACCCTGAACACATATGACATCGGTACACGGTATATCCCTGGCTGCTCAGTTGGAGTAGTAGGAGTGGTGGTGGTGGTGGTGGTTGTAGGAGGAGGAGGAGTAGGAGTATTGCAATAGTGAAGGTTGTCGTCTATGTTGTCACCGACGTCGGTGTCGTCGTAATAGTGGCTGTTGTTTTCGTTGTTGGCTTGCTGCCACGGCGGTACATAATAGTTAAGGAAGGTCTTGAGAGATCTAGGTTCAATCTGCAGATGATCAGGTTCGCTCAATAGAGTCGCTGCTCCAGCATAGTTTCGGGTGCCGGCCAAGCAGAACCGAGAGCCCTGCTGTTCTTGGTTCAGTCAGGCAGCCGCAAGAGCTGCACAGACTAGGTTTTGGTACCGACATTATCTGCTCTTCGTAGAAACTCAGGCACATGCCCTCGCCCAACCTAGTGCAGGCCGTCGCTCGACGAAAAGTCTCGTGGAACACATCGAGAGCTCCAGGCAGGCAGCATGAGCTGTGTTTATCGGAAGTTTGCTACGACCATCATCACCACTACCATGACGAAATCTGCTGCTGCTGCTGCTGCTGCCTCCGGTTGATATCGCCACCTGCAACGGTGCGGATAAGTCCGTCATCCCAGAGGGGTTTGGTTGAGTTGGACGGCTTCCTTTACCAGCCCCTTGAGTTCGCTTTCAAGCGGTGGGAAGGTGTTTGCTGCAGGACGGTGTTCTGAGGGTTCCAGCAGCTGCTTTTGAACCTTTGGGATGGAATTCAGGTTCAGGTTCCCTTTGGTTCTCTTCGGCTTCTTGGCTTCGCTGTCGTCGCTTCCTGCGCAGCTCAGCCGAGAGGCCGTTGAGCAGCTTCTCTCAAAGTTGTCGCCGCCTGAGCTTCCGGTAATGAGCCCGAGACTCCCAGATCCGTGAATTGAGGAACGTACCTTGAATTTTAATGGGGCCCCGAATATGATTTAAGGGATATTCCCTACTAAGTGATCTTGGGGCTCCAGGCCTGGGTTGTTTCGGAGTCCGGTTTGGGCATGGCCTTGGAGAGGTGTCTACTTCTCGGTTTGTGACTATAAGGATTATATTAGGGCCCTATTATATTCCGATTATACCACTATTACAGGGTGGGGACGAAGTGCTTTTCAAGTCCGCTTAGTTCTTAGACATCATGCTGGCGGGGTGCCTTTCTCGCCAGATGTCGGCTGCATTTTCGGTGTTTGCTAATGTTCGGGCTTTGTCATTGGTAGTGATTGTGAGTGTCAGAGAGTGCAGCCGCAATTGACTGACGATGGCAACTTAATCACCGACAGATTCCTGCACAGCTGTGCGAAAGATCGAGCAGGAGAGTAAGCCATTACTTTCAGGTCTCAGGGCCCTAAACCCTAAATCCTAAATCCTAAACCTAAATCCTAAATCCTAAGCCCATAAATCCTAAACCCTGAACCCTAAACCCTAAACCTTGGGGTTTCGGTGTATTTTTGTCCGGCGAAAGGGAAGCACCGCCTCTCGCGAGACCCTAAGGCTCCGCCCGACGCTGCAGCGGCTGCCGGAGATGAATTTGAAACAGGCCCATTGTATAAGGGGGTGTGATATGGGATATGCCTATCCGTATTTTTGCTTGTGTACGTTTTTGGTGGGTACCACAGCTTTCAGCTTTCTGAAGAGCTGCTTGGACTTTGGGGTCCGACCAACCTCTAAAGTCTCGAGTCTCAAACCCGGAAGCTGCAAGCAGATGGAAGCCAGAAGCTATCGCACCTGGAGGTCACGTCTTGCCTCACGACGCTGGCACCTCCCATCAGGTCTCCCGATGTTCAGGCCTCATGAAGCTACACAAGGGCCGGGGAAGATCAAGGCTTCAATATTTGGACTCCTGCGGGGTTTGAAGTTTGGGTCTCGCCACTTCACGGTCTTGCTGAGCAGCTCGAGGCTCTGGCGCCGGTTGAATTTCTACGCAACATGAGTCTTACGTTGGTGAATGTGCGGGCGCTCAACATCACGAAACGCCGAGGTTCTGACGGAAACTGACCGACAGCTCGTCCGCAACTCCGTCGCAGCGCTGTTTGCGCCCGAAGGCGCAAACACTGCTCAAGTTGTGGTCTAATTGAAACATCTGGTCGCTGGAGGATTTCCACTTCGAGACACAAGTATGTTGTGGGCACTATGCATTAGAAGGTCTGTAGGCATCCGCTTGCTTCGTTGCTTTCCAGGAAAGGCTTCCGGTTCGTTTTCTGTTCAATGTGCTTTCCATGAGGTTGGTCCTTCTGCTTGCTTGCATTGCCCGCGGGCACAAGCCGCAGGTGTGAGTTTTTCTGGGCTTGTGCAGCGACTGGACAGCGATCTGATTAAAGAGACCAAGCCTAGGTACCTGATTATCTCTTCTGACGAGAAAACCTTTTGTTGCTTTGGTCATGTGCCTTGCATCGCAGCTGCATCTACAGCCCACGATCGCTCGCATGCTTGCTGTCTGAGACCAGTGTAGCAATCAATGCTTTCTTGAGAAGTTGCCTAAGCTGATCCTTCATGGCCTGAACACTGAACGCGGTACCAGTAACTCATGCAATCCCACATCCTAAATCCAACCTGGCTTTTCCTTTCTGACCTTGAGTAAACTGCACTGATTAGAGGAGCATCTGCGAACGAGGCGGGGTCTGTATGAAGCACTCTTCGCCAGGATTGGTTGATTGTGAGTCCGGGGTGTAATTCATGCTGTTGACATTGCCTGTTGTTTCTCTCATCTGTTGAGAGAGTCTTGAAGCGCTAGCGGTAGTAGCAGTAGAAGCGGCAATTTCTGAAAGTGAAAAGTCAAAGGTTTGACCGGTTTGGGAAGGATGTGGTGTTTCTTCGACCGTTGTCACTGGCATGACATGGCTCGAATCCAGCACTTTTCGAACGTGGTCTCTTTTTCGACACGTTCGATCGATCTTACATGGAAGGTAACGGCAGCAGTCTCTTCTTGTAGGTTTCATGATAATGGAAGTTCCAGGATGATGCCAACACCAAGAGAACGAGACTCGAGGCTAATACTTCATAGGAATGAGGAGTATGATCCAACTTCGCAGCATGTCTGGAGCAAGTGCCAGAGTTGCAGAAACGCGCCGAGTGCATTTCAAAACCTCACGCCTGTTAGTTCCGTCCGAACGAAGAGAAGACCATCCAATAGAAAGCCTACACACATGTGCAAAGACACTGCACTCGAGCAGGGTCCAGTCGCCAGTGTGAGTGGTAGCGGCAGCGGTAGTGATTTTTTTTCAGAATTGCTGCTGGAAGCCGTTCATGCTAAGATCTGACTGCCATCCCACACGCAGCCCGCCCGGACTGTGGAGGAGAACTCGGTGGTCGAGGAAGGCTCCATGTTTTTAGAGCCTTGGATGAAGGCCCGCCGGGGAGAGGGGACGGTCTGCGACTTCTTCGAGCTTCGGTATTGTCCAGGAACATCGAACCAGCCGTTGAATGCCAGGCGGCAAGTGCTTCTGTCCCTAAGCCCCAGACCCTAAACCTCTGGGCAAACGCCCCCCCCCCCCCCCGACCCTGAGCAAATTGGTGGGCAAACGTGTTGTCTTTGCCCAAGAACCGATAAGGGTTCATAGTTTATGAAGCCTGCTCCATTCGTGGGCAAAGGCAAGCTGGGCATTCGTGGCAAAGGCAAAAATCGGATTGCAGCTCAAAATCGCATCGTAGCTCGGGGTTTCGTTGGGGAAGGCAGAATCGAGTTACGCGAACCGAAATCTATTACAAGAGTCCTGGGAGGGGTGGGGAATTGTCTGAACAAGCATGTTGAAGGTCCGGAAGATTCGCGGGCAACGGCGAAAATCGGATTGTAGCACGCTTAGGGTCTAGGACCGTTTAGGATTTAGGCTCTGGAGTTCAGGATTTAGGCTTCAGGATTTAGGTAAGCGTTTTGGTTGTCCAAAGAGCATTTTGTAAGCTTTAGGGTTGTCTGAAAGGCATTGTGAAAGTCTGGAAGGTTCGCGGGCAAAGGCAAAAATGGGATTGTAGCGTCCTTAGGGTTTAGGATTTAGGCCCCAGGGTGTAGGATTTAGTCCTTGTGGTTTAGGATTTAAGCTTTAGGGTTGTTTGGATTGAAGCTTTGGGTTTGTCTGCAGCATCTTCGAGAACACGACACCGGCAACACATCGTACTTCTTACTTTCGAGACCAAGGCAGCGGCAACAAATCGCGCATCTTGATGACTGGTTTAGGGTTCAGGGTGCCGGGCTGGCTTGAGCTGCAAGGTTCAGGATGTAAACACCAGGGTTTGGAAGAAGTGAAATGATTTCTTCTATTGTGAGAATCTATTGGTGGGTTTTAGTTGGCACTGCTGAACTCAAAACCCTAAACCCCCATCCCTAGCCCTAGACCCGAAACCCTGATCCCCAAACTTCTTTATAATATGTATATATATATATATATGTGTATAATGTGTGTGTATATATATATATATAATATTTTCTATCATATCTGTGGAAACCCTAATTCATTCGTTGTTTAAGCCAAGTTCGACCACCGACTTTCAGCAATTTCGTGGTTTCAGGCAAGCTTTGCCTTAAACCACGAACCGATTAGGGTGTTTAAACTTTCAGCAATCTCGTGGTTTAAGGCAAGTTGGAATTCCCGACCTTCAGCAAGGCTTCAGGGTTCAGGCCTCAGGGAAGCTGTAGGGTTAAACCATTTTCATGAGCTTCAGGGTTGTCTGAAATGCATTTTGAAGGTCCGGAAGAATTCGCGTTGGGTTCTGGGGTTCAGGATGTAGGTCTCAGCGAAGCTTTAGGGCATTGTCCAAAAAGCATTTTGATGAACTTCAGAGTTTGAAGGCTTTTGGTTTAATAGAAGTCAAATGGTTTCCTAATGTTACGGGAATCTGTGGGTGGGATGATTTCCCAGACCAAATTAGCGAGCTCGACGAGAGACTGCTCGGACTGGAGCTGCTGAAACCTAATCATTGACCCCTAAACCCTAATCATCCCTAAACTCTAATCCCTGAACCTGCAGAACCCTAATCCCTAAAGCCTAATCCCTAGAGACTAGTGCAGTTGCAAAAACGCACTCCAAAGAAACCTAATCCCTCAACCCTACTCTCCGCTAAATCCCTAGAGGACTACTGGAATGCGGAGATCCAGGGCTTGAGCACCCCAGAAATCCTGGAGCTCGCCTGTGGCCTCCGTGAGGCGCCTGGCAGGTTGCTTAGGGTTTAGGGTTTAGGGTTTAGGGTTTAGGGTTTAGGGTTTAGGGCTTAGGGTAAGTCTTTGAGGCGTGAAGTACGAGGGTACCGATATTCTTCCCCCCCAAAATTGCACTGATACTAGGATCGTACCGATATCATACCATATTACTTCCAGAGCACGCCATCAGTAGGAACAACAAAGACAGATGGGTGCAACCGAAGCAAGAGCGATGGTAGCAGCAGCAAGTACGACAAGAAGAACGTGAATGTGTGTGCTAGGATAGCAACGGGCATAAGATTCTAGTAGGTTCCGAAGACCCAAACTCTAAAGACTCTAAAGCCTAAACTGTGAGCAGATCGATGCTGATAGGCTGGTCTGGGCCCTGGTTGGCCCTTGAACGCAATCCTTGCCACGGGCCCGGCATGGCTTGCGGGTTCTTTTTGGGAGCCTTGAGAGTGTTGGAGGAAGAGTCCTGGCCTTAAGACCAGGGCTTCAGCCAGAGTCGTGTAGCCCGCCATCTGGGGCCGATCGCTTGAAGGCTTCAGGTCTTCGAATTTGGAGGCTTCAGTCCGGGTCAGGATTCACGTCCAAGCATTCAGGGGCCTCTGCATTTCAGCTCTTCGGTTTGGTGCTGTTGCCGAAAGTAGCCTGGGGTCGAGCACGGCCCGAGTCCCGGTCCTCCAGGAGTGTGACACAACATCAGCAGAGAGCGACTCGAATCATCGGAGTTACGTCGAGTTTCATACTCCCAGAAAGTCCAGACGAGGTCGGAGGTGGCGGGAGGGTGTCGGTTGTCGGTTGCCCTCTCAGAGAGCCTCAGCTTCCTTCGCTGTGCAGGCCGAGACCGATCGGCGCCTGGAGCCGCAGGGGAAGTTGCCGCCCCGGCGTGGATTGCAAGCTCCGGCAGAAGGGCACGGCTTATTTGGCTCGATGTCTTCTTGTGTTGAGCAGCGAATAGGTTACACACGAATTGCGGCACAGGTTCACCATTGTTCGACGAGACATTCTACATACTTGTACTGAAGTGAACTGGTTGACCGAAGCTGAGTGCTTCCCTGTTCCACACGAAAGCCATCGCACGCTACCTACCCCCACTCACCATGTGAGAGTATATAGGTCTGTGCACGCCGTAATGTCAAACTTGCTGTGCCAGAAAGTGCAAGTGGGGCTCTGATCACCCTAGCCGCAAGCCGTACATCCAACAGCTCCATTCTGAACCGAAGGGGGTAGGGAGGCAAGTCCCTGGCAGCTTCTGGTTACCTCATAAGCATGTTGCTTGGCTTCCTCGACGGTCTCTCGTTTCCGCCCCATCTGCAGATCTACTGACCTAAACCCTCAAGCCTCAGGGCCGTGAAGATGGCAGGAAGGGAAAGCAAATAGAGCTCTCCCACTTCCTGCTGCTTCGACTCTGCCGCGCCATGGACATTTGGCATCTGGGCTGAGAGAATTATGGGCTTTAGGGTTTCGGGTTTCCGTCTTCGGGGGTGTCGTGTTCAATGCCAAATGCCACTCGGCTGAACAACTACCTATACTGCTGTGGGGTTCCTTTTTAGAATTAGAGTATAATGGGCCCCGAAACCCTATTCTAACGACCCAACATATCCCAACATCTTAAACAGTGCTCCCCCACCGTTCAGAGTCTTTCTGAAGCCATGCGTCTTTCAAATCGCGAATGTGTTGACTACCTTCTTGAGGTTTGCAGCTCCATGAAGCGATCTGAAGCCCTTTGAGACCTCGACAAAGTGGCGCTTATGGCCTTCATCTGTGCGAAAGGGATTTTGTAAGCCCGGATCATCGTGAAGGTCTTAAAATCGAGGACTGGCAGCCATATCTACAAATTCACAACCCCGCAGGCAAACCTCCAAGCCATGGACCCTCAACCCCCCAAGCTCCCCCAGGCATCGGCGCGAGTCCGAGTTTCCTGCGCTGGGAAGCCGGGGGAGATTTTTGTGCAGAGGAGTTTGTTGCGGTTCCATTGGGGTCCGGGTCGAGGTCCGGGAGATTCGCTTCTGGAGCTGACCTGACTACCTAAGAATCTTTCGACTTCTGCAAACACGAGGCCGGCGCGTCAAGCCGAAAGACCCTAACGTTTGAACCTAGCGCAAGAGACGATGAACTTGGTCAAGACTCTGATACACACTAGCTTTGCCCTGAAACCCTCAATTATCAACCTGCTTCAAGCTCCTGTTGCGTGCACAAGGCATGAGGTGGAGGAGGTTCTCCGGTCCTTGCTGAGCAACCCGGAGGCTTGTCTTTGCACGGGTGACTACACTGTCCATCGCTTTGGAAAGTACATGTTTCGCACGAACTCATTCTTTCTTCATGCAATGCACTTTCTGCCCCCGACGCAACTTATGGTTTTTGTGTCCTTTGTTGCCTAAGTTTCGATCGAGTTCGTCATGACACAATGCATCCTCTGCTTTTCGGCTTCCCCGTCTCATAGTACACATTACGCATTACTTGCAAAGTTGCCAGACTCGGGACGTGGGTGTGGGTGCAGCGCAATCGTTGTGAGCTACTCCATACCCTCACCGTCGAACATTATGGCTTCACATCCTGAGGGTTGTTGGGCTTGAAGGCACCCATGCCTGATCTGGATGCTTCGGCTGTGTTTGTGGGTTGACTTTTTCGATTTGCTGCTCAGTCTGCACCGAGCCCCAACAAGAGCTTTAGTAGAATACGGCTGTCAAAGCTGCGGAGATTCGGACTGCCAGTAGTTGTCAGCCGCCAAGCCACCTCCCCTGTCTTGTACCAGAACTTACCAGGCGGTCAAGCCGCTGCCCACCGCATACTTCGTTGCCGTGCTCTCCGCCATCTGCAGCTTTCCGATACCCAAGGCTTGGACTTCCAAGTCAGTAGAGCCTGTTGACCGAACTCAGATCCACAGAAGAACCGGATACCGCCTCTGGGTTCTACTTGGGGTTATAAGTCCCTTAAGTGGGTTTTCCGAATAACTTACTTATTACTTACATTATGGCCTTACTTACTAAGCCCCCTGAGCCTTTAAGTAGGTCCTATGCCCTCCTGTATAAGCAACCCCTTATTATAAGGACCCCAAAATAAGGTACCCCTAATTTTCGGAAACTCCCATAAGCATTCCACTTCAATCAGGAGCTTCCGCTGCGGCTTGTAAGCTCCTTCCTGGACCGAGAGCAGATGGGCCAGCACACGGTGCAGTGCCGCGCTCAAATTGTCCATGAAGTCTTCAAAGGCCCGTCTGAGCTCAGCAAACCCTACAAGGAGGGAGAGAGAGAGAGAGAGAGAGAAGTAATTTACAAAGTTATGCTAAGTATGCTACTCTGCTTCTTGTTGCTATAAGTTATAAATGATCTCAACCCCAAGCCCTTCAAGGATTCAAATCCTGAGACTCTGACCAAACTTTATGCAAACCCTTGTCATCCATCATAAAACTCTGAAGGCTTACGCGGTTCATCGACGTCCGAAGCGAGTCCTCGGTCCCAAAGCCTGAAGTATGCCGAAATCTCAAAGGAAGGACGGAAGGAACGCTGTCGAGAGAGGAAAGTGAAACAGAGGCCGGAGCAGTGGGCTGAGATTCTCTGTGCCATCCGCCCTCTGGACGAGGTGTCCTGCGCTGGGGCGGTTCTTGGATTCGAGATTTCATGGCTCGGGGTGCCGGGGTGCCGGGCTGCTGCGTTTCAGGATCTGAGGGCATCAATCCCACCTCCCGACGGGAGATTTTGGATTCAGTCTTTGGTTCCAAGGCACCGGTTCGGCAGGCTTTGCCACTGATATCAGAATAGTGGGCCCATCGACTCGATGTTTTATGTCAGTCTGACAGGCCCTTGCTCCAGACTATCTCCAGGTCATTGGTCCTAAGGATCTTCTGTCGCAGCTGGCTTTGTAAGGCTTGCCTCGTCATGCCCATCCCTGCCAGTGGCCCTCCTACGAGCGCATCACTCCCCGGCTCATTCAGCATCTGCTCCCGCACCTGCAAGGCCAGACACTGGGTGCTTTGGGATGTCGTGTTGGTGCTTTTTGCAGAGGTTTCAACGCAATAGACCCATCCGTTCCGCCCTTCAAGGGGTTTGAAACATCGCTTTGCATGTCGGGCTTTCTGGGACAAGCAGTGAGGTACCTCTGTGGATGTTGGCTCGATGCCTATGCCCAAAGTATAAGTTCCCAAACCCCAGCAATTCGATCTCGATGTCCCAGGCAGGTTTGTTTGTTTTTTTCGCAGGCTTCGGCCTCAGTAGTGAGTGATTCCATTGGTAGTGTCCCTTGCAAAATGTTGGGTATGGGCCCCAGCTGCATCTGCATGTTTCAGACTATGCTTGATGTTGGCAGCAGCGTGAGCCTCTATGGCCTCAGCATCTTAAAAGGTTCTTTGCAGCCGGGGTTGATAGCGCATTGAAAAACGCACTGACCTTGAGGCCGAAGGTAGTCAGGTAGTAGTCATTTCATAGCGATGAGGCGCAAGGTGGTATTTCTCAGATATATTTCGTTCCTGAGAATGAATGAGTAATTCAGCCGCGGGCTCAAGATTCGATTCAAGATGAATCAAGAAAAGATTGACGAGCTTTTCCTCACCGTGCGGGATGGCGAGCTGGCCGAGGCAAGAGAAGCTTTGGAGAAAGCCGACATGAGTTGGCTTCACAGCGCCTTTCAGCAGAACATGCTTTTTGTGGCAGCACGTCGTTGCCGCGGGTGCGAGCTGCTGGCCAAAGACTGCATCCGCAGGGGATCCGACCTTGCGCAGATCGATTCTCAGCGACAGACGCTGTCGTTCTGGGCGGCGGCGCGGGGAAACCTGGGCATGGTCAAACTGCATAGGGCTCGGAATGGAAATAAACCTCCGCGACATGCAGAAAAACGGCTCTGTTTTTCGCGATTTCGAACAATCATTTGGAAGTTGTGAACCACATGATCGAACAAAGAGCCTCACTCGATGTGCAGGCCGTTGACAGATCGAAGCCTCGCACACTACTGAAATCGATGAATGTCGCGATTCCTGATCGCAAGCGGAAGCTCTTGTGCCCAGACCCCAAAACCGCTTGTCCTGGACCCAAATATATTTCCCTAAATAGCAGGATCCCAACCAGAAGGACCCCAAATAGGGGAAGCTTCATTTCCACATGGTACAAAAACGGTCCATCAGTCCAGTCTCTGCAGCGCGCACGACATGCTGGGCACAGAAGCCCTACCCATGCGTGACGTCACCCTGCAGATTGAGCTTCCCATCCGGGCCACTTACTATGGCCTCAATCCCTGATTGCACGATGCCATGTCATTGTCAACCAACGCGGATCGAATGCAACCGTTGGAACTTGCGAGTTCTAAATCATCTGCAACGCCCTTCGACATGTTCGGAAGGCCTTTTCTTTCGCCTTCGGAGGCCTTCCAGCAAACACGCTCCTGACGGTGCTCAAGTCCTTGTCGGCGAAGCCCTTCAGTCATGTCGGAGCCCCGGGCCCCGGGTCGACATCGAAGAACTCGGTTTGCAGGCTTTTTTGCAGGGGCGGCAGATGCGACATGGACCCACTGAACTTGCCTTTTAGCTTTCCCGCGCAGCCTGTTTGCTCCTGCTGCGGCTGCTGCCCTTAATCTTAGCTACACACGTGATGTGTCATTGCCACTGCGACGGTGACGACGGGGACCCTGCAGATAGGAGTGCCCCGGCTCCTGTGCAGGCTCCTGGACAGTTTATGTCTCTAAAGTATTACGGGTCATTCGATTTCATAGAACAGATCAGGGAAAGATATGGCAGCAAGCGACCTGCAATGCGCGTAGGCTTTTCGTCGACATGATCAAACAATTTGTTGGGCCGCGGACGACACCCCAAGCTGCTGCCTTGACTGCCGAGGTTCTGACGTTTGAGGCTCCAACAGCCAGACTCCCGGACAGCTTGCATGGTATAGTCTAGTCTAGTACAGTACAGTGCAGCACAGTATATTTATGATCCTATAGTACAGTATTATAGTCTAGTACATTACAGTATATGCCTTACACCTGTGGCTGGGCGCGCCTCCAAGGCCTTCGGGCCGCTCATACGGGCTCCGCGCTCATTCTCTCGAGCCGCAGCCAAGGCTCTGCAACTTAGGGGTTTAGGCTTTAGGGGTTTGGGGGTTTAGGGGTTTAGGGGTTTAGAGGTTTCGGGGTTTAGGGTTTACGGTTTAGGGTTTAGTAGGTCCTATTATAATTAATAATTAATAATTAATGATTATAGTGCGTTGCGTTGTGTGGCATTGTCTCATATCAGATCATGTCTGAGGGTTTTGTGTCCGAACTCATGCTTAAAAATCGTTCGACTAGGTTTTTCGGGTATATTCTACCAGATTTCTCATAAGGAGCCCCCAAAACCCTATTCTAATTGTCAAGACCCCTGAAGTAGACTTTCAGACCGAGCCCTAGCTTCCTCCCTCGCCGGTGGTTCCGTGGTTTCGGGCTGTTTTTGAATTTGAAGCTTTAGGTAGGTCTTGGTGGTTCACGGTTGGAGGGTTTAGCCAGACTCTTGGGAGCTGGTGTTTGAACACGTGCGGGTTTTCAGCTAAGCCACCTCCAACACCCTATGCAGGCGGCAACGAGCCGTGGCGAATAAAGCTTACAGTCTGTGGTTGTTGGGATTCACGTGGTCCAGGGTGCTAGTAATAGCGGTAGTAGCTGCCGGCAACTAGGCGCAGCAACCGGCAAGTAGGTGGTGGTGTGCATGCAGTCTTTTAGTAGCAGGTGGTCATAGAGTTGGTGCTGCTGGCGCCAGTGATAGTGGTAGTGAGAGGGGCAGGAGCAGTAGCAGGAACATCAGCAGCAACAGCATCGCGGCTGGTAGCAGAGCAGGATTGGTAGGGCAGGCGGAGGAGGAGAGGAGGAGGAGGAGGAGGAGGAGGAGGAGGAGCAGTTGTCGTGGGTGGGTGGGTGGCGATAGTTCCGTTCGGTTGGGCCTACTTTGCTACTGGCTGCATCTTACTTTGTCTAGCTTGCTCACTTCTTGTTTGCGCTTCTCGACGCAAGGCCGTCCAGGATGGAAAGTGGGATCTCCGACAGGTGCGACCCCTCGAAGTGCCGAAGCCGGTCCTAGGACA